GTTACATGTTTGATGCTTCAAAACAACACAACAGTATAGTGGTTTACTCACTGTACGAATTCAAATGATGCAATACTACTCTCAACACGTTCTCTTGTTATTAATAACATGGAGCATGTTCTTGAATTATTTTCAGGATGCTATGGATACAGAGCAAAAGCCATGCACAACAATAGAGGCAGGAAAAGGTACTCTGTCAAGTAGCACCTCACTCTGCAGTGGCAGAGAGCAGGCAGAGAGCAGCCTGGCATGGTAAAGAGGCCTCCCATGTGCTGATCAGAACACCACGTAGAAACAGACTTGGACAATAATGTAAATTGGAAGGGGAGTTTGAAGGTTGTTGAACAGAAGCTATGGATGCCCCATCATTGGAAGTGTACAAAATCTGACTGGACAGACTTTGAGCAACCTGATCTAGTGAAAGATGTCCCTGCCCACAGCAGGGGTTGGACTAGATGCCATTTGAATGTTCTTGTCAGTCCAAAACATTACATTATTCCATGATTCTAAGTTAAGATCAATACGAACAGTCAATATAAAAGAAATTTTATTTATGCACTAGCACAATGAAAAACAACTGTCTCTAGTTCAGACACCTTGAATACTTCAAACACTAATCAACACACTGATTCCAAACTTAACATCTCTTCAATCTTCTTAACAAAAATGTAATTTGCAATGTATATCTTGATGGCTGATTATACTAAAAAAATATTATACATCCATCACTTATCATCGTAATTAAAGAGATGTAATATAATTTAAAATACTTTACAGGCAGTTAAATTGCTTTCATCACGAATTTTCCTGTGGACAGATTTCCCAAAGCCAACCCCAACGTTGGTCGGCTACTCCCTCTGCTGGATTAAGCCAGTACGTGTCTGCCATATAAAGGCCATTGTTTAACTATTACAAGTTTTGTTTACTTTCTTTTCCCCTTTTCAAGCAAACACAAAGAACTTTTTTTTCCTTTGGATGTTCTAAAATCCCTCCATCATTCTGAAATCCAAACGATCCAACCAAGGAAGAGCAAGGCCTCTGCTTAACCTTTGAGAATTCTTCTATAAAACTTTAATAAGGGATAAAACTGTAAGACTTGGTCTTGCAATCCCCATTCAGATACTGTTCAGTGATACTCAGGCCAGTACAAGTCTGGCTATTTCTATTACGCTTCTCCAAGACTCTCAACAATATGAAAGAATCATCAGCAATTTTTCTCAACCTGTAAGATTTACTTACTCATAACATTAAACAGCTGAAAGCATACTTACATGTGAAAGGAGTAACTAACTACCAAAAAGCATGTGGAATATTGGGAGAAATTATAGACCACCACTCATCCCCCCAGATCCTCAATATTACACTATTAAGGATATTTTAGGATAAAATGCAGCTGTGACTTCCAGGATGGAATGCAGTTGATACGCACAGAATCTACCCTATGGTAGTTCCCCAGGAAACCTTAGCATATGCTTTCAGGATAAACTGAACAGAGAGTGGAACAGAGTGAAGACACTGCGGCCAGGCTCTGCTATACTCCTTGCAGCTGCAGGAACTTGCAGGAACCATGTACTGATAAAACACAGAGCAGCTGTCAAACAAGGAATGTAAAGCAAGAGAATTTCACACCAGTCATTAACAAAGTATGTATGACAAGCACCACTCAGCTCCATAAGCCATACAGCCAAACTCCACAGGTATTCAGTTAAAGCTCCATGGGTATTTAGTTAAGAATTTGAAACCTGCACTACTATCAAAGATCCTGACCAGATACAAGGATCTCTTCAAGGGTTGGGAGACCTGAGAAACAACAGTGATTTACAATGAGAACTGGTAGCCAGAGGGGCTTTGGCCTTGTGTAGGTAGACTAGGAAAAACAGGACTGAGACAACCAGGACCAAGAAAAACAGGACTAATGAACCTCTGATCAGGAAAGACTATCCTTGAAGTCTGCTACGTCCTGACAACACCTGGACATTCATCAAAATACGGTTTCACAAGTCAGCATGGTGTTTGCAGGGTTACAGACTTATTATGGAGACTGTTTAAAAGTAAATCTGGATGAGAACTGAAACAGAGAAATCAGACAGGAGTGAAACGCTCAGATGCAGCACTGAATCCCAAACTGTTTGGACACAATTATTTGAATTCCAACTGTGTTTGGACCATGTCCAAACCACAACCTAACCATAAGAAGACTTAAACAAATGGCCATTTTAGAACTCTCTATCTTTAATTTTGAGAATATGTGAACAAACATTCATGGGTCTTGGCTTAGCTTTGATGTTCCTTAATACATGGACCAGTATGATCTCATACCAAGCATACTGTAACTTCATAAAGAAATTAAAATGTAATAAAATGAAATAAAATATGGCTAGATACCAGCAAGCACCAACCTCTAAGAAATAAGAAAAAAACCCAAACATAGAAAGGTTTTAAACTGGCTCTTCTTTTAAGAAACTTGCTTTAATCTTAACCCTATTTTTTTTTTTTTCATTTTTAGTTGACTCAATGCCACTATTGCTACAAAGGTATTTATAACTTTAGCTTGGGGATGGAAATGTAAGCTATTGCAGAATCGAGAAATACATCTTTTGTTTTCCTGTGCTTCAAAAAAACAAAGAATGGTGAAGAGACAGACTCTGAGGAGAGGTACTAGGTCTGCCTGCCAGCACTGCTCTATAATTATTCTAATTGTCTCAAGATTTCTTTATTAATGTTCCCATGGAAATCCTGGCTGCAGCAGCTGCCTGCAAACACAGTCTATTTTTAGTAGCTTAAAAGTATCAGGATGTCTCTTAAACTTGTATTTGTGCACTGTGCCTTTGTTTTAAGGAAACTGAAAAGCTGCAGGTTTTGAAGTAGGCAAAAGTGAGTATGACAAATGGGGGAAACCAAAGAAATAGAGAGAATTGGGTCAGACACCCACCAACTCTGTTTTCCTCAACCCTCACCCCCCACCCCATCCTTTTGACAAACAGTTCTATTCTCTAACGTTTCATGGAAGTTTATTTATTCCCAGACCAATAAATACCACTAACCCACCAATATCTGAAATGTGGTTTGCTGCCATAGTTACCTTTGACAGGCCATTAGAAGATGACACACACACACACGCACACACACACACAGAACTCAGGAAGCAGAGTATTCAGCTGAAGTCTAGAGGTGCTTTCATAATTAAAACTGAAGAATTATGAAAATCTTGTAAAGGGACAAATGCAGTTTACTGTGTTTGTCTTCATTTCCCCCTGTACTCAGCACTGGTGAGGCTACACCTCGAATCCTGTGTTCGGTTCTGCGCCCGTCACTACAGGAGAGACACTGAGGTGCTGGAGTGGGTCTAGAGAAGGGCAACGAAGCTGGTGAAGGGTCTGGAGAACAAGCGTGATGAGGAGCAGCTGAGGGACCTGGGGGCTGTTCAGCCTGGAGAGAAGGAATCTCAGGGGAGTCCTGACCGCTCTCTACAACTGTCTGACAGAAGGTTGTAGCAAGGTGGGTGTTGGTCTCTTCTCCCAAGTAACAAGCGATAGGACAAGAGGAAACAGCCTCAGGTTGTGCCAGGGGAGGTTTAGATTAGATATTAGGAAAGATTTATTCACCAAAAGTGTTGTCAAGCACTGAAACAGGCTGCCCAGAGGAGTGGTTATGTTACTATTCCTGGATGTGCAGACAAGGCCCTTAGTGACATGGTTTAGTGATGGATTTGGCAGTGCTGGGGAAAAATTGGACTTTATGATCTTAAAGGTCTTTTCCAACCAAGTTTATTCTATCATTTCAGTCATCATTTAAGTATGGATTAAGAAGTGGAATTACCTTGTTCTATCTTTGCTCTGTCTTTAAAGTTTTCACAAACTGAAGCAAACCATTAACACAAGGAGCAGAACAAAAACATGCCCCGTGCCAGCAGAGCCCAGCATCAGGGAATGAAATACCCCGGCCAAGGCTGAGGGACCCAACGAGCCGTCTCCAGGGCACTGCTGAGGGATCAGGGGACCCCTGAGCGGGGAGAGGGATCCCTCCCACCAATGGTACCGGGGAGTCTGCGGTCCCACCGGCTCCAGTGGGGACCAGGCTGACCTCCAGAACGACCTCCGGCCGGGCGGTGGGGGCCAGGGGCGGCCATGGCGCTCCGGACAGCACCGACCTGCAGACAGCGGTGCGCGGGCCAGCGGTCCCGGCGGGCACGGGGATGGCCGTGGGCCGCTGCTCGCTGCAGAGGAGGACGCGATGTGTCTGCTGCCCGCCGATACCTCGTACACGTCGAGGAGGTCGTGGCGGCTGAAGTAAGCTCGGAGCTCGGGGCTCGCCGTCCTGAGGGACTCCATGGCGTGCTGGACGCACTGGCAGCGGTTGCGTAGCAACGGGGCCGCGGCTGTGAGCTGGCCCGAGTCCGCCCCAGCCGCTGCTCGCTCCGCACCGAGCGGGCATGGGGCGGTGGAGGGACTTTGGGGTCGTGGGGGGCACAGAGGGGAGCATCTGCCCGTTACTACTTGCGTGGCGCCGGGATCCCAGTGTTTTGACTCCCACCAGCCTGGCTTGCAGCCGAGCTGAGCGCTGCCGGTGTTTGCTGCTGCTACCGCCGCCGGTGTGCGGCGGGGAGGCCCCGCACGTGTGCGGTGCGGCGTGTCCGAACTGGCAGCAGCTGAGAAATCGCACCCTGGAGCTCAGATTCAAAGAGGACGAGCACAGGCAGCACCAGCGGGGTGGGGATTTGCCAGCAGGTTCATGTAACCCCGAGGCAAGCGTTTCCAGCCTGTGTATTTTTAACATATTGCTGTGTTTGTTAAAACACTGTAACTGTTTAAGGAGCAGCTTGTGTGTGGTTTAATTAATGTACTTATAAATGGCGTAGTAGCCATGAAAAAGCGCACGTTCACCCTATCCCCAGAGAATGATGCACACTAGAGCCACCCTCCCAGCGAACCCGGCCGGCCCCGGCGGCGCAGCTCGGCGGCTGCAGGAAGACGGGAGTCGGCGCCGGATGGGGCGGAGGCTTCCGCGGGCGGACAGAGGGGCAGCGGGCATGGGGGAGCCGCGGGGCGCGGTGGCGGCGAGAGCGGCGGCCATCGTGCTCGGGGCGGGAGCCTGCTACTGCCTGTGGAGGCTGGCGGCGGGCGGCCGGCAACGACCGCGGCCTGCGGGAGGGGCGGCGCGGGGCCCGCCGCCAGGTGAGGGGCGGTGAGGGGCGGTGAGGCACGGTGGGTTGGGCCTGAGCCCAGCTTCCGGCCTTTGCCGGGGCCCTGCCCGGACCTCAGGGGCGCGGCTCCGGGCTCCTGCCCGCCGTGTGAGGGGCACCAGAGGGCTGCTCAGCAGCCCTCCCGCAGCAGCAGCCGGGCGGCGTTTTTAAAGGCCTCTGGGGCATGTTGTATTTTTAGAAAAGGCTAATTTATTTCTTTAAAGTCCCCTAAAGTGTACTTCCAGTCAGTGTATTTACTTAATGGGCTGATTTGGTGTTCTGTTATTAAAGTTGTTTGTGTTTCCCCTGTAATCCAGAGCTAAACAAAGTATTCAGATGAGGATGAAAAATAATTTTGTTTTCCAGGCTAGTTCTTGGATTACCATAATTATCTTTGAGCTCCCCCTAAAATTACTATGGTGTTTGCCTGCTGAGATGGTGGCAGCAAGTACACGGAATTATAAAGGACTGGTTAGCTTCTCCAAAGTCACCTGAAGTCAACTATGACTAGTCGTGTAGTCACAGCTCCAGTCTTCAGGCTTTTCAGCTAGCTAAGTAGATCTGCCTCCAACCTGGCTGAAAATGGTCTTTGATGGCATTTGTGTCACCCTTTTATCAAAGCCAGGGACTCCATAACATCATCCTGACTCAGAAACTGCCTCTCGGTTGGTAGTGATGCCATGATGGGCAGCGTTCTTAGCATTGTGGTTCTTGCTTTGTCAAAAGGCCCTCAGGGTGCTTACAAAACATTGTTATCATCTTTGGAAGTAACAGTCTGCAGATCAGAAGTTTTATTCTCATGTAGTGTCCAGGCAGGTTCCCACATAGTTCAGGGAACACAAAAAAATAAAGTTTGGTGAATATTAATTTTGAAAGGGAGGTTTGCTGTTGATTAGCCAATAAGTAATGTACTTAGAACTCTTATTATGTATTCCTTTTATTTTCTACTTTGAAAAGAAGTAGTGGGAGGACTCAGGAAAAAGGACAGAAGTCTCACTGTTGTAAAACAGCCTTTTTGCCACAATATGCGAAGTGGGTGCAATCAGAGTTAGAACAGTGTGTCCTGCAACTGAGAGCTAAACCTCAGCATTGTAAAAAACGTTAAGTGGTAACAAAGTGAAATGTCCCAAACTTGGTATCAAGTATTTCATTTTTAAATGCCAACAGATAACAGTCCTCCAGTGTCAACCCATACGATGGATGCAGACGCTCTACAGAAACTTATTTATTTGCTGCATGCCACAGATGATCCATTAATTCAAGAGCAAGCTTTAATCACTCTCGGCAACAGTGCTGCCTTCTCTGTAAATCAAGTAAGTATTGTTATGCAGAAAACAACAACATTTCAATACCAGTTAGCACGCAAGATGAGAGGTGCTGTTTTGCTGAAGAGGGAAATGGAACTGAGAGTTTGTATAGCTTCTGTTCTGAAATCCATTTTATGTCTATGCTTCAATTTCTGCTAGCCTGAATAATAGAATTTACCAGCTTCACAGAATTTATCTAAGCTTAATGTTTGTACAACTTGAAGTCCATACAGAGTTCTGTATTTTAAATGTACCGAAAACACGTATTTTATTGCTTATAGTTAATGAAAGGGTTGAACTGGAAAAGGGTTTATGATCAGATCTGAAATTTACTGAGATAATTGAGATTATTTTTACAAATTATTATATTTAATTATCTTTACAAAGCTGTATGCCATTTGCGTCTTAGCAACTTTCCAGCTATCCATGTCTTTTCAAATCAGTTGGAAATAAGATGCAGAAAAGCTTTAAGCTGGATGCAGATTTTCATGCCTTTGTAAAGGTTTAATCTCCAGGGCAGGTCCACCTTTTTTAACTCCCCACCCTTTTTGTATGGTGCTTACAACAGCTGCCTATTCTGGCACCTCAGGACTGTTTTCTTAATATAAATTCCTCAGAATGTGACTGAATCCAAACACATATTGGCCCATTTTTCATTGTCTTGAAATCAGTACACGTTTTCTTCCAGTGATGGCTTCAGTCTAAGTGAGAAAGACTTTTAAAAGATAAAGTCTAATGGAAAAGGTACAGTTTTAGAACTTCTGCTGTAATAATATAAAGCTGCAGTTTGAAATTCTGTTCAGTCAGGACTTCTAGGTACTGTGGCCTGGCTCAGCTGTTCTATAAAGTCAGTAAGAAATAACTACCTTTGGTTCTTTAAAATGCTTTAAGCATGCTTTGCAGGCCAGATTTTAAACAGAATGGTGGTGTGCCCTTGTTAAATAATGTCAATACTCTGGCCCTAAGCAGGACTATTCTTAATTTCAGTGGAAGCAATAAAGCAGTATCTACTAACACTATCTCTTTAAACAAAGCAATCTATTCTGGAAGTCTTCATTCACACATTCCATTTGTGTTAAAAATGAAAACTTTGAGAAAAGCCTTCAGCATTAAATCTGGATCTTTAAAATGTTATTAAATATCTGGTTTGCATTACAGGATATAATCCGGAATTTGGGTGGCCTTTCTGTTATTGGAGGGATGCTCTCAGATTGTGTTCCCAAAGTTAAAGAAAAAGCACTGAATGCACTTAATAATTTGAGTATGAATATTAAAAATCAGGAAGAGATACAGGTAAGTTTCTTGAAGGGAAAAATCAAAGTAATTGAGACACAGGAGACAGTAGAGGGCTTTCAGCATATTTGTTAAATACAAACCAGGATGCCAAAACGTTTTGATGTCAGACATAGGAGCCAGCAGATCTGGATGATCTGTGTCCCCCAAGGCCCAAATGATAGCTTAAAAGTCTACTGCATCACTGGCACTTTTTTAAAAAGACAATTAGGAAACTAAGCAGTTTGTGTCCAGCTTTTACCAAACACTATGAAACAGAGATTGTGCTGCTAAGTTTATAGTAAAATTATGTGAGGCACGATGATTTCCAAACATACCTAGAACATCAGCAGTGGTTGTTTAACAGGATGAGCTACAGACTGAACTCAGCATGACTTCTTAGGCAAGGCACAAGAAAGCAGTAATTGATCCTGTGGGTTTGTATGAGACCAGTTTTTCAGGGTGATACTTTCACCTTAAAAGAATAATGTAAAACCTGTAAATCCCACTGGTAAATGTAGGGGATGCTATGGATGTGAAAGGACCAACTATCAGAAAGCGTCCACTTTAAACATTATCAGATTAGTAAGAAGACCAGTAAGTGTCCAAGCAGTGAGTTGATGCAGATTTGAAGATTCTTCCTAGTTTTTTCATGAGCTTGATAAAAAGGCAGTTTGTTTCTGTGGTAGTTTGTAGCATCTTTAGCACAGAGGAACTTTTTTTCAAGTAGTGCTTGCCAACGGCAAGTATTTGTATAGGCATATGGGAAGAAAACAAGTCCTTTGGTAAAGGCAAAGTAGGGTGGTTTTTTTTTAGTTAGGACCCCCAGCTTTCTTGTATACTGACACCCAGAAGAAAATTTGGTAAATAATACTTGTTAATGTCAGTTTCATCACTGTTCCCATGGAGGAACACTAGTAAATGGGCCATGTGGTTGGAAGAAAGATTTCATTCCAAGACTTGTCCTTAACTTGTTCTTAACATTTAAGAAGATGCTAGTTGCTGTGATTTATTTTAAATAACTCCTCAAAGCAGCTGTGCCGCCTCTGAGATGGAGCCAAAGCAGTTTGGGTTTTCACAGCAGTTGATACTTTAGGAAGGTTAGCGAGCGTAACTCTGTGACACCCACTTCTGTCATGGCAATAGAATGTTTGAATGTATTCAAAACAAAGCAACCAGGTACTTGTTTCCAAGAACCTTAATCAGGTTGTGTTCACGCAGTAGTATTCAGGAGGTGTTTACACTCCTGTAGCTAGGTCACTGCTTATATAATAAGATGACTTCTCTTTTTCCCCAGGTATATATTACACAAGTGTGTGGGAATATTGAGTCGGCTCCCCTGAACTCTGACCTGCAGCTAGCTGGACTCCGACTGTTGACAAATATGTCTGTTACCAGCAACTACCACCCTAAAATGATAAGCTCAATTCCATGCCTGCTTCATTTGCTTTCAGAAGGAACTGAAAGGACACAGGTGCTGTTACAAACCATTTGTGAAGCTGCTTTATTTGCCTCTGTTTTACTGATTTTGTAAAATGGTTTAGACTCCGCTTAGAAAATCAAATACTCGTTAACGATAGCAGATAGTGCACAAACCATATAAAATACGGATCTACATTGCTTTCTCAGTGTAAATACAGAAAGAGGGGAGGAAGGGAATCTTAATAGTAGAACCACTGGGCTAGAGCTCTACCACAGCAGTGCTGTGTGCACTGCTCTTGTCCTACGCCTTTGCTATAGCAACTCCAGAATTCTCTCCTGCTTGCTAAACATTGCCTGCATCAAAGAGCAAGGAGAATGTGTGTGTGAAAGGCTTCACTGATGCGTCAGTCTCTCCAGGGAAACGGGCCAGGCAGCAGTAAGCTAAGTTATGGATTTCTACTCCTTTATGTTTACTGCATCTCTTGCAACCCCAGTGACTGCAGAGGGAAATTGTGCTTACTTGTGAACTACTGTAATATTGTGAGTGTGACAACGTAGAAAGAATCTTGCCCCACCTATACCATCCAAGGAGACCTTTCACTGTGCTTTTTGCAACCAGATTTGCCTATGTCACATTGGCCTTTTTAGTCATCAGCACGCTTGTAGTAAGCATGGATAAAGCCCTTCCCAAATCTTCATTTGTGAAGTCAAGCAAAGCCACTGTAATATTGAAAGAAAAACTTCAAAGAGGGATCAAATTCAGTGTTTATTCAAGATCACAGAATGGTGTGGGTTCATGGGACCTTAAAGCTCATCCAGTCCCAACCCCTGCCACGGTCAGGGACACCTTCCACTAGACCAGGTTGCTCCAAGTCACATCCAGCCTGGCCTTGAACACTGCCAGGGCAACCTGTGCCAATGCCTCACCACCTTCGTAGGAAAGAGTTTCTTCCTAGTGTCTAATCTCACTCTCCCCTCTGTTAGTTTAAAGTCATTCCCCCTTGTCCTGTCAGTACATGGCCTTGTAAAAAGTCCCTCTCTGGATTTCTTGTAGGACCCTTTAGCGGTTTGACTGAAGTCACAACTCATAATGTTAGTTGACCCATTCTACCTTTTCCTCTCCAAGTCAACGCTGATATTACTGATGGCCGTTACTGCTGTACTCACTGGTTTTTGGAGCTTGCAATAAACTTTGGTGTTCCTCATTTCAGATTCAGGTTTTGAAAGTACTTGTGAACTTATCTGCAAACCCAGCCATGACAAGACATCTTCTCAGAGGTCAAGTAAGGTTCTTGCTCTTTCGTTGTATTTTTAGCATTTCTACATGTGTATGCATGTAGGTGTGTGCATGCATTAGAAGAATTCTAATGTATTAGAAATATATATGCAACTCCAAGGTAAAATCCTAGGCAGTCCCAGGTTAAGATGAATAGCTCAAAGTGCATTCTCTCACAGGGCAGCTTTCTTCCAGAGATTAGCACAATACAGATACTGTATGTGCAGGGGGAGAGTCAGAGGGCCTATGCACTTGGGGACAGTTGGTCCTGGCCCCTGTGTACCATCCAGATAATCAGTCCAGAACTTGCAGGAAGCCTGTTCTCATCTTCCCCTTGCACCAAAGAGGTAGTACTAGGAACTTTTGTATGCAAAGTACGCAAAGCCTCATTTCCAGACAGGCAGTCAGCATGTAGATTGAAGACCGGATACAAACATCAGATACACTCAGTACTGTAAGTGAGCCTTCTCAACAGCTGTTTCTATGGCTAACACACTGTACTTAACCAAATTCTACTGTAACCAAATTCCACTGAGATCCCCACTCCTTTACTCAAATGCAGCCATAAAAATGTTGTTTCTGAGCACTATTAAGTAAACTTTCCCTGTGCGTTGATTTAGGTCTTTCTGCAGAACTGTATCTGACATTGACTGCTGCTCGTGTTGGCATACAGGTTTATATTTCATATCATTTCCTCATATCAAAACAGTTAGCGATGGAAATGATGCTGCATCTTCCTCCCCAAAGTAAGTTCCTTAAAACATGCAGTGCCTTTTATTTTTGAGCTAGCTATCTGCTGTGAGCAAAGCTTGTCTAGATGCTGCTGGCTTCTCATTATTAAAACAAGATTAGGGTAGCTAAATACTCAGTCCTGTCAAAAGTGGATCCTTTTCTCATTTATCAGATGTGCTAACAAAAACATTCAGAGCACTGCAAAGGGCAAAAGCAACATCATCGAGGGGGAAAGCAGACCTTCTCTCCCAAATGGGAATTTTCCAGACAGCCGTGTTTGATGATGGAAGATGTTTTTTCCAGACAGCCGTGTTTTGGAGATGGAAAACACAAAGCATTTATTAGCCTGTGATGCACAAGCCAGTCCTTTCACAGAGGAAATGTGCATGCTGGGCAAGTTTCTGGTGTTGTTTTCACAGCATATGGAGTTCTGGTATTTGGCAGGGTTTCTAGTTTTGATGCTTTAGGTGTAGATTTATTTTAGTTTCATTTTTTGTTAAGATTTAGTTGCATGTACTTAGTGCTGGTGATTAAGTGCAGATTATTTCTTGTGTATCCTAGGTGCCAACATTGCTGTTACTTCTTGACAACTGTACAAACAGAGATATTCTGCTTAGAGCCCTGGTGTTTGCAGCAAACTTGAAAAAGAATGTGAACAACAGAGATGGCACAATGGACCGATACAGTGAAAGTTCCATTTTCTTTACACTCTGTGGGGACTCTACTGCATTTGCTCAGAAACTGGCATCTTTGTTGCATCACCCTGATGCAGAAGTGAAAGAGCAAGTTGTGAGGATATTAACACAGTAGTGATTCCTTTTTTTAAAAAGAACAGACTGACCTGATGAAAATATCTCACCTTAGGAATGATGGGCTAAAAACCCCCAAAAAGCAACAAAACACCAATGCCAGACATACTAAATAGTACCATATTATTAGGCACAACTCATAGAATAGTTAGGGTTGATAAGGACCTTAAGATCATCAAGTTCCAAGCCCCCTGCCATGGTCAGGGACACCTCACACTAAACCATCTCACCCAAGGCTCTGTCCAACCTGGCCTTGAACACCAACAGGGAGAGAGCATTCACAACTTCCTTGGGCAACCCATTCCAGTGCCTCACCACCCTAACAGTAAAGAATTTCTTCCTTTTATCCAATCTAAACTTCCCCTGTTTAAGTTTTAACCTCTTACCCCTTGTCCAGTCACTACAGTCCATAATGAAATGTCCCTCCCCAGCATCCTTACAGGCCCCCTTTAGATACTGGAAGGCTTCTAGGAAATCTCAACACAGCTTCTTTTCTCCAGGCTGAACAGCCCAAACTTTCTCACCCTGGCGAATCAGGTACTACAAAAGAGAATTCAATGTATTTAACAGAGCATAACATTTTTTTAATGAACAAGATAAAAGCAATAGCTTAATACTGAGAAACAACTGGACAGCTGGTACAGGTACACAAGGGGGAGGAACAGTTGAAAACATGAACTTCCAGATGTACAGTGAACATTTGAAATGGAGAAACTAATTAAAATACTCTCAGTATCATAAAGAATTTCTGTTACAGGTTGGACGAGGCCTTGGGTGACATGATTTAGTGCAAGGTGTCCCTGCCCATGGGAGGGGGGTTGGAACGAGATGATCTTAAGGTCCTTTCCAACCCAAAGTATTCTATGATTCTGTGATTCTACAGTGAACATTTGAAATGGAGAAACTAATTAAAATACTCTCAGTATCATAAAGAATTTTTGTTACCGTATTTGCAGCTGTTGAATAAATACTTTTATAGAATGATGCATTAAAGGTTCAGCAATCAGAAGCATTTATATTTTATTAATCTGACATCTACTAAATGGGGGCAGGCAAATCTTAGAAAATAATAAATAAAACCAATGCCAAACTAGCATCAGCTTCCTACAAAACTAGTATTTGCAATGCCAACTGCTTACTGAAGTTCCCCAGCCTGTGATTTTTCACCTTACCTGCACAGAATATATGAAACTATGTTCTCACATACTTAGCATATCTGTCCCATTTAGCTAAACTGCAGTGCAATCAGCCACAACCACCAAGGCTTTTACACTTGAATAAAAGCAAAAGAATTTTATCTTGCTTTAAAATTGTCACTTTAAGGAAAGCATACATATTTTTCAACATACTTTGTTATGAGTCAAAGCTTATATACGATTGCAATTCAACATTCTTACCTTTATTTAAAAAGTCTATATTAGAGCAGTATCATCCACATTTTTACAGCAGCTTCTTGTCCTGTAGCAGCCCCTGAGCCCGTTTTCCTTGAGTTTTACTCCTTTTTCTCTGCAACTGGAACATCATCAGAATAAGACCCCCATAAAGTTTTAGTCATCAATCCAGTGTTAACTCGAAGTGGAGAATATACAAACACTGTGTAAAAGAACCTGAAGGAAGTTTCATTGGTGAACATAAAACGTAACAGAAAATACTTCATACTAAACCAAGGCTCCTAAAGCTTCTGCAATAGCGCATCATAGAGCAAGTAAGACGTGTCACCTCTAAAGGATAGAAAACAAGCTTTCCACCCTTGTACCATTTTTAATAGCTGTGTTGCCTATACTCTTACCAGATGCTTCACCTTGCCACATTACTCAGTGTACTCTCACTGAATTATTACTCTCGACTCTTTCTGAAATTCGGTAGGTATTTATTTTCAGTAGGCGACTTTGCAAACAGCTAAAGCTGCAAAAAAAATGTTACCTTGATAATACAGCACACCCTGATCAATACAGGGGTAAAACTACATGTATCCAGTTCATCTACCTGGGTAGTTTTAACTCAGCGGGAATACAATCAAGACAGAAACAGAAGTTGGCCTGATTCCCAGTCAGAACCCTGACAATTGCTGTGTTGACAATGAACGTCCCTTTCTTCTTCCCACTGCTCCAAAACCACTGCTCATTTTCAAATAAGCAAGTTACAATTAATGCTTTGCCACTTTCTGTAGGTATTTTTTTTTTCTGCTTCTGTATTTAACAAAGAAAAACAAATGCTAGGTCAGGCAGAAAGAATTTGCCAATCTCACCTCTCTCTTCTGACAAGAACTTATAATAGTCTGGACTAGTCTGTTCTAGGTATAGCTGATACATACGTGTTTTCTTAAGCTCAGCAATGAAGATGTTTAGATGTCCCTCTCTCTTCTGTGACCTAAAAAGTTGTTTTTCAGATATCATCCTTCTAATAATTATCCTTTGACAGCTGTCAGAAACAAGTAACCGCTGTCCCCTTTTCTAAAAGTACATGAAACCTTGTTACAGTAACTGCTTTCTTCATAGAACAGCACTGTTAGTATGTTTTGAAATCATGCAAGGCTCTCCGAAGTGTCTTCACACCAAAATGTCTAACTTTTTTATCCCACACCCTAGATGAAATCTTACCAGCACCAAGCCAAGTGTAAGAGACACCATTCTACATATAAATGCTGTGAGTGAATAGATCTAAACTGAAATGTATGCTGTTACTGACATTTAGTCTCTGACTCTTGTAAGTCTTCTTCTCTGCTCTGTAGCTGCTTATCTGTGTTCTGTATTTTACTTTCTTTCTTTCTAAAGTACAGAATTTTACAGAAGAGTCTACTGATGTTTCTGAAAACAGGAAAACAAACAAACACATCAGTTTTAACCATGCCCTTCACAGTACTTAAAGCATCCTGCACAGCTTAGTGTCTTTTGCAGTATTATGAACATGAGATGCATTATATTACCCAATTTGTTATTGAAGCTATTGTGTAAATAAGAGGCCCAGTAGAGACTTCACCTGAAATACCCTCCCAAAATGAACACCAAATGACTGAGAGTAGTTTTAAACTAGTTCTGAACAAATTCTGGTGAATACATCTAGGCCATATTAGAATAACCTTTTCAAATAAAGAAATCTTGACATTTGTCAACTACGAATCTCACCAAAGGAATATAAGCTATGTTTTCTTATATGTAAGTGTAGCCCTCTGTTCCTGAACCCTCTCTCAGCATGAACGTGGACTGATGGATCTTTACCTCCTTGTGTTGTTTTTTGTTGGAATTAAGATCTTTAAGACTTGTAGCACTTCCCAACAGTTAAAAGATTCCTTCAGTTTGCTCATAGCATGAAATCTCATTAACTGGTTTGAACTGGTTGCTGGAAGTTCATGCTTTAAAATAGCAGGGAAAAATGTGTCTTTTTATTTAGATTTATGGATTCTGATCATAAAATGTAATGCACTGCAAGAACAACAAAAAAAAAAAAATACACATCCCCCACAGACCTAAACAAATCACTGACAGAAAAATCATTTGCCAGGGAATCATGAAGGAGACTAACAACCCTTTTTATTGGCAATAATAGGCTTTAATTCTGTAAATTAGCATGGCAATTTGATTCAGATACATTTAGCCAAGTTTTACAATAGTAAGCAATGCTGCATCTCTCATTCAACTTAAAAATTACACGGAAGCTGTAAGAAAAAAATACCACAGCCCTTGCTAAAGATATTTCACTTAAAAGTACCTAGTAATAGGCTGAGTCAATGTAAATACAAGTGCCATTAAGGGATTCTTCCATTTCATGTACTGCATTTAGCAAGAAAATTACTTTAGACATGTTCTGGCCTAACTTAAAAACACTGACAAAACAAAGAATACTCTGACCAGCAGTTAAGTGTTACATGAGTGACGCAACATTAAACTATGTCTATCTCTGAAAGGCACGTTTCTTTATATCACTGTAAAATGCAGCTTTTGTGGTTCATCAGTATATGAAAATGTAGAAGCAGTCAGTAAAATAATTCTTTTACTGTGCTTGTGCTTAACAACACAGCTGTACTGGAAGACTCTACCCCACAAAACATACAGTGAAGCTATCAAGGTACAGGGCATAAACTGAAGATTAATGACCAACAAGTAGGAGATGACATTCTAACAAAAACTCGTTCAAGTCAGCCATTAACTCTAAGAGTATGTCCTGCACTGAGGTTATTATTGCTGCTGCAGGTAAGATGAAGAGTTCAAAAAAGCCCCCAAAACCCCAGTAATTTATCAGTGGTGTACATAAGAGTTGAAACTGCAAGTTATTCCCAGACAATACCTTACATATTAACCAGTTCTTTGATCACCTCAAAATTTATAAACAATATAACTAGTGAAATTTAGCATGAAATTGGTATGCAAGTTTTAGTTCTGTAACCGACAAACCCAGCACCTACAAATCCAGTTCACCCCCCCCAAAAAAAAAATCTACTTTGCAAGTACATCCTAGTAGTATTTGGAACCTTAATTGCTAGCTCAAATCAAAGAGGGCTTACAGGGATCTGCTACTGTTCCGTTATTCAAATCCATCATTAGTACTCAAGTCCCGTGATTCTCCATGGTTTAAGACAAAGAAGTCATCTTTTTTCAAGCCATATCTTTCAAGAGCTTCATTCAGTTTAACTGGAGGATCCAGGTAATACTGAAAAATGAGAATAACATGAGAGAAAACATACCATTGCAGCATCTGGGGGATAGGAGAGGCAGGGTGGGGGAAATATCACTGCTCTGCACAAGAAATGGATTAAATTTTAAACATCTAAGAACGGGGAGAAGGATATCTGTCAAAATATCTGGGTTCTTTTTCAGTTTTTAAACTATAATAATACTCATTTACAGTTGCAGAGTAACTAGCAAGGGACAACCTGACATCCAAAATTCAGTCTTCAGCGTATTGACCTAAATTCCCGAGAAGCCGATACAGCAGAGGAGGAACAGTTCGCAAGTCAGCAGATGGCGCTTTCTCTCGTTTAGGAAAACGAAGTTGTCAGCTTTACTGTTTCAGAACTAGTGCCAGTTCTGTGAGGTGCCCTGAAGTTACTTCATTGTGTTTGTTACATTTCAGAAAAGGCATTATCAGGGAGAAATCATCCCGGGTTTGGTGCTTCTAAATACATAATAGTGTTTGTACCATGGGCACAAGTGACACAGCCCATTGGCAGCACTGTGGATTGAAAATGGTGCATCCAAGTCATGACACACCAGATGAATAGAAATAACAGCATCAGGGCTGAACTGAAAGTGTTGCAATTGCTGCACAGAGAAAGTTGGAAACCAGCTACCAGATAAGGCGTGTCAAAGTAAATGCAAGTATTTCTTTCTCACTGCATTTCTACTCACTGTGAAGGTACCTGGGTAACCTCCTTATTACAACTGGGGACTGGGAATGGAAGGGGTGGTTTATAAAAATGTTTAAAAAAGTCAGCAACTCAGAATTTTCAGGTTTTTCACGTTATTGCTGGTATTTAACTATGAATCTACTATTAAAAAGACTATGCAATGAATTTACTAAATACTGTTCTGGTATACAGGCATGCAATTCTTACTGCCTGCATATTGCACATGCATACCCACCTTGCATGTTGCTCAGCTGTCAGATACCGGAAACCCACCACATTTGTTTCAGTAACTCTGTACTTCAAATTAATCTTAACCATAGACATATTTTATGTAATTGGTTATGCAAAGCTAAGCATTGTTTTGAACAACAGTACAAACAGTAATAACTTTTCACTCATGCCAAGATTATGCTTTAAGTATACATTTACAGGTATGTAGTTTAAACTGCATGAGCAAAGCTTCATCAGTGACTATGTGCTCAGGAAATCTGAACTCATTTATAGTGTTGAAATTTACCTCATTTGCTAAAGCAAAGGTCCCCCAGTGAACTGCTACAGACTTCTTTGCTTGAACATCAATGTGGATTCTTACTGCTTCTTCAGGATCCACATGCTGGTATTTCATAAACCACCTATCAAAACACAAAGTAAATGGTTTTGTGTCACCTAGTTCAGTGCAAGATTTCTTTTTGACTTTCACTGGCGATGTTAGAAAGGATCTAAAACCAAACAAACAAAACCCAGAAATACCAATGCATGTATGTGTGATCAACATAGAAAACACTCAAAATCAACAAGCTGAAATATACCAACATATCCACAAAACAGCAGTTCATGTATTTCACTCCCTTTTTCAAACAGATTTTTTTCAAACAGATCTATATTTTTAATAGTCTAAGGACACAGTAAGGCTTCCCAGGGCAGTGGTGGTGTCACAGTTCCTGCGACTGTTAAAAACACGTGTAGAAGAGGTCATCAATGACATGGTTTAGTGGTGGGCTTAGCAGTCCTGGGGTAATGGTTGGACTAGATCTTAAAGGTCTTTTCCAACCTAGTTGATTCTATGATTACTGGTGCCTTGAGGCATTAAAGCTATAGATTAACTCATAACTGAAAAAAACTCATGCTAGCAATGCACACCAAAACGTGTGTGCTTCAGAAGATAGCCTAAGGGAGCAGTGGGAAAGCAGAAGAGTGAACCTGATAATTCCTAAAAGATGCCGTATTTTTGCCATGTTGCTCAGATTCCTATCTTCCTTTCCCAGCCCATGCACGCTTTGCTTCCAGCATTGTGTGTGTTATCATCTAAAAGTTTCAATACCCCATCATAAGTAGGATCCAGATGCCTAAGCAGATTCACACTCTATATAAAGGAGTCATCTTTATCTCCAGATAAGCTGCAAAACCAGCAAAGACTCAAGCAAGAGTAAAATGCAGCAAATTGCACACATTAAGTGGGCTGGATTAAGTGATGGTATCTCAGAATAAATGCCACAAAGTAATTCCAGATTTTTACTCAATGTTTTTCATGGAAGAAAGGCAGCTGATTCAGCCTTGCTGTTCTTAAGAGGAAAAAACTCTTCAAGAATGTCACACATACACAGGCAAGTACCCTAAACATTTCAGCTCTATCTGAATGGGTGGCTACAAAGAAGACGAAGACCACCTTTTTACAAGGAGTCACATGGAGAAGACAAGGGGTAACGGGCATAAGTTACTCCTGGGGAGATTCCAAATGGACAAAGGGAAACTTTTCCCCAGTGAAAACAATCAGCTATTGGAATAATCTCCTGGGGAAGTGGTGGACTCCCCAGTGTTGGACAGCATGCCGGAAGATCTAGTCTAGGTCATGCTTTGTCCAGAAAGGTTGGATGAGATGATCCTTGAGGTCCCCTCCAACCTGGTATTCTATGATTGATCTTCCAATTGCCTGCTTTTTTTGGCCATTCCTTTCACCTCAGCACTTTCTTTCGCCTCTACATTCTACTATATATTCTTAATAAAGCATCACCACTGATGCACTTCTGGGTGTATTTTTTCTGTCACCAGCATATAACTCCATTTATGTATTTTGATCAAACTTTGATTTTCATACCTTGGCTCATAAGCTCCAATGGAGATGGCTGCAAGATCGAAAGGTCCAAACCTTTTGCCTATCTGTTCAAAAGCAACACAATATCCAGTATCTCCTGAAAAGAAAAACCTGTTCCATGGTCCTAAGACAGACCAGCTGCCCCAAAGAACCTTGTTATCATCTATCACAGTCCTTTTGCACCAATGCTGCGAAGGGGTGAAGACAAAAGTTACCGCATCATGACCAGGGACACAGTTCTCTTCCCACCAGTCCAGTTCTATCACATTCTCACAACCACATCTCTGCATCCAGCCCAACAGCCCTAGAGGCACAAACCAGCGCAGCTCACTACCAAAACGCTCATTCAAACTCATTACGGTGTTGTAGTCCAAGTGATCATAGTGAGTGTGGCTGATCATGACTGCATCTATCTTGGGGAGCTGCTCTACGGTGCACGGAGGTCCTCGGAAGCGCTTGGGACCCACCAGCTGAGTGGGGGAAGCTCGCTGGCTGAAGATGGGGTCAGTAAGGAATATAAGTTCATCCATTTCCACCATAACAGAAGCATGTCCCAGCCATGTGACTCGCAGACCAGTTCCTGTCTTCCCAGCAAGTTCTGGCTTTTCAACAAAGTAAGGTTTTAACACAGGAAGCACTTTATCCAGTTCCTAGCAAAAAAGAACACAACATGCATGACAGGTTCCAGAATGTACTCGCTGGGAACAAAAACTGCATGAGAGGCACAAATCATTACAGTCAGGACTTGCACTTTGTTCAGTGTTTTCAGACAATTGCAGAACTGCACCACAAACTAGATGCCTTTTTAATGACCATTTTCCCAGCTACTCTCTCTTAAGTTCATCTTAGGTTTTTGTGACATTTTCACTTCTCTGTCGAGAGAAGACAGAGCTTGAGAGTATCCCATCAGGCCAGGAGACCTACTAACAGAGAGAGTCCAACAGCATCATGGTGAAAGCACCAAAAAGCACAGCAGCATCCTGGGAAAGGCTCTGTAACTGATTGGCCTTCCCTGACCTGCAAAAGAATATATATATATATATATATATATATACACACACATACATGCACATTGTTACTGTAACAAACGCTCAGGTTTAGCTCCTGCACTAGAAGATTCATCCCCTAAGTCCTAGCACAAGCTGCAAACCCACAGATGAAAGAGAATGCCACTTTCCCATCAGCACTCCATAAAACCTGTTCTGTTAGCCTTTATAAGACCCTCTCTCTCCCCCCATTACATACAGAAGCAGCACATGGAGGTTCACCTCACTTGGCTGATGATGGATTTTACAGTTCTCTCTTCCCATCCTGCCAGTAATCCAACAAACATTCAAAAAGCAAATTCATTTTTAAGATGGACCTTAAGGCCCTTAGCTGTGCTTCTCGTGTTTTATTGAAGCCTTCAAGGTAATTAAAGATTAATTATTACTGAATAAATCACTATACTGATCTCCTTGTATGTTCAAGTTGCAGTCCCCACAAACAACTTCAAATCAACCTAAACCCATACTCCAGTATAACAAAGAAACCTTCCCCCACTTGCCCTCTTGTTCCACCGTGAATACTTGTGCAGTCTTCATTTAAGTCTGGCAGGTCAGAGAACCAATCTAGCTGAACATTAATCCAGAGGAGGAAAACAGACAGCTTTCAGCTCAATCGGCTTCCAAACTGGACTCTATGTGTAGCTTCATACAAAGGGGGCCATGGCTGTATGTTATCTATGGAAACCCATCTCCAATAACCACTCACCCTCTCATTTTGAACTGGAGTTACGTTCCTGCCTGCAGTTTGGTTGAGATGCTTGTGCACAAGTTTTGTTTGTAATACAAAAGTTTTCCTAATCAATAATAATAATGACCATCACCACCGCCCCCTCCCCAAAACAACCTACAAACAAAAAAAGCCTCACAAAACAAACCAAAGGAACCAACCAAAGTCTTGTCGACGTTCCTGACCACCTCTAGTGCAGCCACAGCATGGATAAGGCTCTCCTCCCAAACAGTTCTGGTGTGAACTCCTTGTACCACTTGAGAAGATTTTACCTGTTTTGGCAGCTTCTACAGACTCCTGACACTCTTCTCTCCCTGGTAATCACAGATGTCTCAGCACCTTGGTTCCCAGTGAAGCCCTCCCTGCAATGGTTGCTGCTCTAGTTCTTTAGGTCTAGGGTAGTAGATTAACACTATCAGCAAGCTTACACACAGCTGACCTCCTACTGCCTTAAAAGCCCAGCTGATGCTGTGATTTAGAGATTCTAGGGCTTCCCTTGCTAAAACAGTCCTGACAGCTTCAGGAAAGTTATTTTCTCCACAATATTTTATTGATTTGGAGGACATATGGTGGGAAAGAACAAAACACACACATACACCCCTCCACCCCCCTGAAACTCCACTGTACGTAATAAAATATTCATGACATTGCTTTTTCTGAGAGCTAATGGACAAGACACATCTACTGAAAAAGTTTCATTACTGTCTCCAAGAACGAGAAATAGTCTTCTATAAAACTGAATGCAAGGTTAGCACAATACAATCACTTAATTCACATAAGAAGAAACGAAGTATGAGTATTAGACTGAGACAAACCACTGCTTTTCCAAGAAAAAAGCATCACTTTTTTTCAGTCTAGGCACATGGGAATGACACCAGCAGGAGAAATCTGTACAACAGAGTGTGTTATATTGTGATACTTCAGCTTAAAATAAGTAAAAAGGTTGAAGAGCAACAAAATTAACATAGTACTCCAAAATGGAAGTTAGGACAACCCACATATTACATGTGGTTAAGTCAACAAATCAGATTCTATCAAAGAAATTAAAACTCAGACATGAAATTTAATAATTAATTGCCATAATGCAATTTAGGTCAGCAAGCACGTTTTTAATGGAAAATGGTCTTTAAGGAGTTAGTTTTAGAGGTAGACTAGAAATTATTCTAAGAACTTTAAATGAATACTCTTTATTTTTGCTGATAGACACAAACTAGTTTGTAAACTATCATTATGCAATAGATCAAATAATGCCAATTGGCAGATGTGAACAGTAAGTTCTTCACTGGGACTCAAACATACTGTACTAGTTTCACCTGGGATAGAGTTAATTCTCTTTCTAGTAGCTCTTATGGTGCTTTGGCTTTGTGCTGAAAACTGTGGATAACAGACTGATGATTTAGCTATTGCTGAAGAATACTTACACAGCATCAAAGCCAGTAGGCTGGGGGTGCATAAGGACATGGGGGGGGACACAGCTGAGACAACTCACCCCAACTGACCCCAGGAATATCCCACACCATGTAGCGTCATGCTCATATACATATAAAGCTGGGAAAGAAGATGGAAGACGGAGTCATTCACAGCGATGGTGTTTGTCTTCCCAAGTAACTGTTACATGTGGTGGAGCCCTGCTGTCCTGGAGATGGCTGAACACCTGCCTGCCCGTGTGAAATGGTGAATGAATTTCTTTGCTTGCACACTCGGCTTTTGCTTTACCTGTTAAACTGTCTTTATCTCAACCCACAAGTTTTCTCACTTTTAGCCTTCCAATTCCAGCAGTGAGCAAGTGGCTGTATGGGGGTTAGCTGCCGCCTCAGGTAAAACTCTAACACATTTGCACTATTAAAGGCTTTACAGGAATGTCAGTGGCATTGACACCATTAAGTATTCTGAACAGTTGATTTTAAAGTAGAACTAATCACTACAAAAGGCATTTGTAAAGGAAACACAGGAAGACTGATAACTAAAGAGTAACACAGTTCAAATGACTGGTATCCTGATCTATTTAAATGAAATTGTGTGAACAAAAGCTGAAGGCAAACCAGGAGCGCAAAGGCAGCACAAAAGGGAAAGCACAGAGTCCATATGATGATCTACAGGTTTGTGATACACAGGCTGGTCCAAATTACTGACTCCTCAGAGGCTTTTGATTCAATGATTCCTCATGCATTTTGTTAAGCTATCACAATAAATCACACAGGGAAATAGCTAAAGATATTCCTCCTCAGCGCATGGACTATGCTTGTTTGGGTTTTTTAAAATACATTAAATATTTACAAAATCCCCAGAATTACCTTTTAAAGCAATAAGGACTCACTACTCGTAAGATTTCAAACTAAAACACAACTTCTATTGGCAGTATACTGCATATGAAATTCTTAAAACTCATACAACAGAATACAAATAATGAACAAAATACATAAACTTATGGGACTTTAATCTGTTCTCTGTCAGACCAACCAGAAACATATTAATACTACAAGAATTGTAACAGATCTTTGAATTATGGCATTCACATCAAACCAGCTACCAACAGAAGCAAAACATGCCTAATACTGGCTTATCTTCATCACTAGAGTAATACCAAAATTCCTCCTGTTGTGCCCCTTCCCCCTCCCGTGTTCTCCTTTCCTTGCTAATGCAAAGCAAGAAGAAACACATGACAGGCTTTGGTAAGACTAACTAATTAGCTGAGGATTTTTTGGTGCTTAGTGCATACTGGAATACCACTGGATTTTAAAGAAATGAGAACAATCTAAAAGGCTGATCCAACAACCAGTAATTAAAGATACTCCAAACAGCACTAAAAAGAGTTATTAATTAAGCCTGTAATGAAAATACAAGAAACCTATGCATTCTGGGCAATGATACAGACTTGTTGTGAAGGCATGATTATAATACATGTAGCTTTCACAGACTGAAGTACATATCCTGGATAATATGCTTTTTTTCCATATGCAAAGCACTTGGTACAGATAACCTAAACCTGCCCAGCATTGCAGGGTAGCACTAGGAACACTCAGTGTGGAAACTGAAGTAGGAGTCTGCTTGAAAGACATACTAGCTAGCAGTGCTAAATAAGCTACAGAGTCCTTAGTCTGAAGCCCTTAGTCTGAATTTTAAACAAGCTCAGAAGCACTTTACAGGTTGATTTAGGCATGGAACAAATGTAGCTGGAACAAGCATCAAAATGGCTGAGGTCTCAGGAGTGCATTTCATTGATCCCTATCTAGGTTTTCCCATTTCTGATTTATTTCACTGTCTCCTGAATAATTGCAGACATTTAATTAAAAATTTTCATATGCAAAGCAATAAAATTAGTTTAAAATGAAACCCAGCTGGGTCAGAGAGACAGCTTTACAACTGACACAGTGTAGATTTCTTTGTAATCATCCCTTATTGCAGGGATAATCTGTAAATTAGAGTGCTGCAGTTGTCCACTGCCATCAGAGACTGTGTATTCTGCACTCTGTAGTACCGTAGCACTGTCTTCTAGGTACTTCAGTCACTAACCAGGTTTCCCACTGGTGCTGGCAAGATAGGAAGCCTGTTTTAGACATAGGGAATAGGGCAGTGGCTCAAAGGCAATTGAAAATGACAAGGCATGAATTCTACACAAATGGGGCCAAAGTATGAGAATGCAGCACAGTACTTAGAAAGCAGTACACAGTGAGGCACAACTGCTGTTACTACTAAAGGTGCATATAATGTCTAGAAGCAGGACTCCATATTTAAAACAGTAAATTGGTGTAAGGCACACAAGATGGATGTATGTTTGCTGTGCTTCTCTCCAAAGGTAAATTATTATTATAATAGAACAATTATAGCTGAGATTATTTCTCTCTTAAACATGTTTCATGCCACACACCCTTAAGAAATCCCCAAACCTCTGACCATCATGTGGTAGTAAGACTGCTTTCCTGTCCATAAAGCTGATCAAATTCCTTTTTTTTTGCAGGTAATTCCATAAGATAAAAATTAAAAGCGTAAGCTCTTTTCTAAATAATGACTGAGATTTATAGCTTATGCACGCCTTCCTAGATGCTTAACAGCATTAACATCACCTATTTGTTCACAAATGCTTTCCTTGGCTGTGCATCCTTCAGCGCAGCTTTTCCAAAGTGCAGTCAGACACACATCAGAAAATATACCAAGAAGTAATCCCAACTGTCCAAGCTGTAGCCACCATAACGTTCCTTGTAGCCACAAAGATAACCCATGGTTTTCCAGTATATACAACTCTTCACAGAAAAGAAGCTTCTCTCAGAGGTTGCTTGCGCACCTCCTTCTTTATATACAATATCTGACAGGAGCAATACAGCACGAACAGATAATGGTGTTTCCCAGTAAACTGGCTCTGTACTTTTAGTATCCCAGAACAAATACTTGCTCAGGCTCGTTTTAACATAGGCAATTTTTTCTCCTGGTGTACTAAAGCAGAAAAATACAGATTTGAAACACTTTCATGAGTAAATGGCAGCAACTAGTTATTACATTTTCATTTAAAAATATAAAAAGAGGTGTTATTTATGTAGTAAATGGCAGTCAGAAAAAAAAGGCAAAATGTGTAAAATGAGATATGCCACAGCTACTACACGCAGTACAAATGATGCTTAGGAGTATGCTTCCCAAGGCAACATGTATTAAAAAGGAAAGACTTTAACTGTAGTTTATGACTCAGCTGGGGAACCATTTTTGCTGGTTTTGTAAATATAAACTGAACTGGGTAAATCAAAGGGTGTGGAACTAACAGAATGGAGAGAAAAAAATAGAGGCAAAAAGTATTAACCCACCTTTTGAAAAGAATGGGTGATAATAAAATCAGAAAAAGAAGACCTGGCAAAGTCTCCAAAAGGTGATTAATATGTATTAGTTAGAAACTGTTCTATCTTACTGATTAATAAACATAATTAATAAATAACAGCAGTCTCAATCAAGAACAGAAAACACACAAGTATTTACCTGCTTCGAGCACGGCACGTTGCTGTTATTTTTTTCCATGAAGGACCACTTCAAAACATTGGGCAAGGTCGGTGATTTCCATGTTGGCCATGGGTTGACAAACTTCCCATCTTTGCCTCTCTTTGATTTAGTGACATCCTCTTCTAATCTGTAGTCCAGCCTGAAGCTTTTCCTGGAGGTCCTGGAAGAATCACTGCCCCTGGAACCCTGACCCGAATTCTGACGTCTCCTCACTGCTTCTTTAGGGTACTGGCTACATGCAGTCAGAGGTTGCTCTTCATCTGTTTTCTTATCCATATCTTTTTGAGGAGAGCTAAAATAAATTTGAAATTAGTCAATCTTTTCTTGGACTAACATCAGCGTTCATCAGGTCGAATATTCTCACACACATCAGAAACAAGCCTGCCCTTCTCAGTTTATGATCCACTGCAATTTTTCCTCAACAAAATGTGCTTTAAAACAGTTGCTATTACACAAAAGACTTCAAAAACATGCTGTGGCAAGTAGACACGAGATCTCTTTGTAGTTCTGGCAGAATTTTCTTCCCTGGTATGCACAGCTTCAGATACTAGATTATCTGCAAGAGGGGGAAGGGTTCCTTAATTTACATTTTGGAAGAATAGTAAATTCCTCCTGAAACTTATGACATTTAGTGCCTGATGTAATATGACCCTGCAAACCTGACCAAGAGACAATAAGAACTATACAGTACCTTGGGATTTGCCTATAGAGTGACTTTGTTTTGCAGTAAGAGCAGCAGCCTCATGTAGCATTAATAACACATTACTCCTACCAACAAGATGCACATACATGCAGAGAAGTCAGAACACACAAGACATCTGGTCCTATTTCCTATTTTGTCTAAAACAAAGGAAAAGCTTGTTGTAAGAATAGTAAAAGTAACTGTGTCAAACACAATTTTGATACACATTTAAGTGAACTCCCTAGCAAAAGGCTATAGAAAACTGGAACATCTCAAATGAATCACAGCTCAATGTCTGCTCTTAATTCCACTGCAAAATATTAAAAAAGTGAGATAATAACTGAGAAAAGCTTATTCCTGTGAAGTCACAATTCTGTCATATTTCTTAGACAATTCTGAGTTCAGTAGTCAGCGTCTCTCACTCCAAACTACACTTAAGTGTTGTGCAGTTCAGGAGTATGGAGAACTATTGATCTTATTATATGCAAGGTGAAAAACCCCAATTTGCCTATTTTATTTTAAAGTTGCTGCAGCAATGCAGTTGAAGTTGAATGTGTCAGTTTCCATCGAGAGTAAATACACTGTTCTGAGTTTCTGAATAAATAGGTTGCCATTTCAAAGAAAACTCAACTTTCTGGTACTTACAAATTCTACCTGATGAAAACTGTAAGATAACTAGTAAGGAACACACAGTGTGATAAACTGCTTAGGTGCAGGAATATTGTTAGTAAGAAATTGTAAAGTCTTGTGGAAAACCTCTCTCCTATTTCATTAACTCAAATACTCAGACTTTAACTGTATATCTATGAGAAGCACTGGGCTGAGGTACCAAAGCTAGGTCACTTGAACAACATTTTCATAGAACAAAATTAAGGCCCACAGTTTTCTTAGAAACTGCGTAACTCACCATGACCCTCGTAAGTTCATGATTACAAAGAAAAAGCAGCATACTGCCACCACAACACGACAGCTAAGGTTTTAGACAAGTATAAAAAGTGTTATCAAATTGAACACAAATGCATTTACTGGTGAGAATCCAGCTTCAAATGCAAAGCCCAATGAAACAGCCACCCAGCTGTTCTGTGCCATCTGAAGCACATAAATGGTAACAAAAGGAATGAATGCCACAAAAAGGCAGAGGGAATACCCCCAAAATTGTAGTGGATATTTTAACTGTTACTTTAGCTTAATAGAATTGGGATTTCTTTGCCGTTCCTCAAGAATATTTTCAATGCCAAGTCAGCTTATTACTTTAGCAAAGCATGCAGACAGGGCATAAAACATCTACTCTGCTAGAAAGCATCATGAAAACAAATCACAGAAGTTTAATCAGAGAGGTGCTTAATTCCAGGAAATTCTTCTGCTAACATCTCAGATGTCTGATTTTTAAATACATATAACTACTGTAATTATTGTTCCTACAAGACATTTTATATTGGAGACCAGAGTGCCTAAGGTTTTTATTTTTTAAGCTTCTGTTTATCCATTCATCTCTGAAATAGGTGAATTCTACTTTTGCTTAAATTTTCATATAAACCTTTGATCTTATTCTGAAAGTATAAACCTCTAGGGGAAGCAGGGATCAGCTATGCTGATTAAACAAAGACAATGCCAAAGCATTTAAGACACTGCAAGTATCTGTCTGCCAACATATTTTCCACATGATGTACATATATTACTTTCATTAGTATTCCATAAGCAACCGAAGAGGTGAAAGACCTCACAAAAAAAAAACCCAACCCTTTTACACAAGGGACACATTTACAAACAATTAACTGACAAAGTATTCTTGATCAACTATAGATTCCTTTGAAGCATCAATCGTGCCAGTTCATTTCTGTTTCATTTAAACTGGTAAAATACATCCTAGAATATTCATGGAATACAGTAAAAGAAATTTATTTTTCTTACATAAAAAGTTAGATGATCATTTCTTGAAAGCCACCAATGATTACCTTAGGGTAAAACTCAACCACTTATTAGTCCAACCAAGGGTAAGAACCTTCTTACCCTTTTGCAAAAGAAAGCCTTGCTTGAAAGGGGATTTGGCAGGTATATATTAAACATTAGAAAATACCCAATCAGAAATGAACTGACTTTTCATCCAGCTTCCCTGAATTCTTCCCCCCTTCAAATAATAGTTTGGCACTTGAGAAATAATTAAGCACTGGATTACCAATGAAATTATGAGTGATAGAGACACTGAAATCAGACTGGTGTAGAGTTGTGTTCACCCTGGATCAAGGGTGGTCATGTCCTTGGTGAATATTTGTTACTGTAAGGTTCCACAATAAATCTTGTCTTTTCCAGACTTTCAAAGAGAGAAAACACTATTCTACTTAAAAGCATTTAACTGCTTTTTTTAACAAATGGAATCCATCCTTCAGGATGAGGTTACTCACGCCCAAACAAGGGCAAGTGGATCATCACAACCTGTAAGAGGGGCTCAGACAAGATGCAATGCAAGCACCCTCTCTGTACTCAGAGATGCTTTACAACTTCAACTGAATTCAGGAAAGAAAATGGACCAAGACATACAGACTACTAATGGAGACCATTAGTCATGTCAAATCCAAAAGGCCAGAAGGTATTCTAAACCGAAGGGAAGAACACCACTGGCTGATGAATAGGATGAAGCTTAATGTGAATCAAAACAGATCTCACATAACTGGTTTTCCAGCACCAAATACAAAGATGCCCCTAGTAATCCACAAAGCAAGAGAGAAGTTGTAGATCAGGCAAGAGGTAGCACAGAAAATCCATGTCTTACGTCCCACTAAACAGGCTTTTACACCTGTAAACGGGATATAGCCTGCAGGACAACAGGTTTAGGGTCAATTGTTTATTTTAGCTTTGCTTATACAATTGAAAACTTGGAAATAACACTTTTGGCTTTCAGTCCTCTGTTTATTTAGGAAAATAACTAACAGGTTAAACATTTTAGTGCTTTTTGGAAAAGAAGGCTAGGAACTTCATAATTACTATGAACCTATGGTTTACTGGAACACATCAAAATCCACAAAACTTTACACTTACCTTGCAAACATTCCATAGCTTTCCAAATATCCTTAATTTTCTCTATTTTTTAAGCAAGAGGTCTGGTTCATTTCTAATCACCATGTGTCTGTATAGACTACATCCAGAACTGGGCTGCACTACACATCACCTAAAAGGGACAGCAAACAGTTCCTCGCAAACACGCACCACTGTAGCCTTACCAAAGCCAGAACCTGAGCTTTCTGCAAACTACACACTGCTACACAACTCCGAAGTCTCCTTTAAACATACTTATTTTTTATGACTACAAAAAGCACACTTTCTGGCTTGAAAACTAAGGGGGGGAGGGAGAGAGATACCAGCTAAAAGGTATTTGCTCCAGCACACTCAACCATCAAACAACTGCCAGCAAAGTTTTGGCTGTGCTTTTATTTTTCCTTCAGATCTGAAATTGTCTGCTTTAATTAATGAACAGTTTGAGCCTGCAAAATTCTGAACATATTTAAACTTTTATTGTGCAGGACTCCAGGCTGTTCATTGTATCACTGTACACTTAACAAAGCCAGAACCTGAGCTTGCTGCAAATTGGATATTGCTGTGCATCCTGGAAGTTTTCTTTCACTTAACATTATTTTTATGACTGCAGCAGCAATTATTCAAGATGCTCCTGGTCTTAGGATTTCACACAAAGAAGATCTCTCAAGCTTGCAACCAGTTGATCTATAAATACTTTTATTGTTTGAGATTCCTCATTAAAAGCTGCAAGCAAGAACAAGCACTGGAGAAAATTTCATTCAAATTATTTGGTATTTTAACAGACAGCTTGGGATTCTGTGTGATATCCTACTGCCATACATCCACAAAGCAGAAAATTCATGTCAGTACAGCCTTTTTCCATTCTTGGATGTACCCATTTCAGAGAAAAGCTATAGGTTGCCAGCCCAGTTCTCTGTTCTCATTAGGTCTGTAAGTATAAGTACTCCGATTCCATAGTGATCCTGTGTACTGTTTAAGAAAGATAACAAGTGAGTTGATAACAGAAACAGAAATAGCTCTCTCCATAAACAACCTCATAGAATTAGTATTAATCCTTCACCATTCTTGCCTAGTTTTGAGGATCCAGAGTAAAACAAAGTTTTATTTAGACATAACATGAAAAAAAACAACAAACAAATAAAACATGAAGCACTTTCTCAGTATCATCTGTTCTTAGGCATATTCTTACAACAGCTGCCTTACTTAAGCAGCCACCATTATGAGCCAACCCATTTCTGCCCTCATTACTTCCCCAGGCTTGCCAAAACAAACATTTGTGTCCACATAATAAATTAGTTCAAGAAGCTGATCTAGCTGATAGTCATCTCTTACCTTCCCATCCCTTACAGAAGCACTTAATTTTCACCTGCATCACTGTATAACCATGCAAGTGTTTATACCAACAAACTGGCTAGGACAGGGAAGGGTGAGAACAGGAATATACTGTTGCAAACAAAAACTACTTATGCCAGTGCTGCTATTACAAAAGTAATTCATTAAATATCGTCCATTTAGAATTCACTCAGTGTAGCTCAGTTACATGCACCACCAAGTTAGATTCAGTGATTCCTCCTACCCTTAATACATTTCATTTCCAATCTATCCCCTATCTAAGATTTCATTCACATTAGAACTGATGCTGCTTAAACCCTCTGGCAGCCTCCTCCAAGAACAGTGTTTCATACTATAACAAGCAAATTCAATAACCACCTCCCACCCAACAGGCAGCCCACTCCCATTACCACACATTCTGACCTCTACTACCCTGGCATTCAGCAGGGAACTAAACCAACAGTAAGTTATTCACAGCCATCACAAGTGCCTTTCAGCCACACAGTTACATGCCCCTGGATACAAATGCAAACAGGCTTTATTTAGAGTCAGGTCTATTAGTACCTGCAGCCAACTATTCTCAACCCTGGGTTAAATCTGATCAGCTATGGGCATTGTATTAGCTGCATAAAGATGTCTCTTCCTGGAACAATACCTAACTATTTTCCCTTTGTTTCCAGGTGCTACAAATGCCTGTCCCTGTTGCTGATGTGACAGTAGTTGTCTGTAGGGATCACACACATTAACAGAGGTACAGATCCAGTAACCAGTATCTTCAGCTATACAGGCCTACTAAAATAACTTATTTCCTTCTCTGCCCTCATCTTTTACTGCAGTTTTGAATAAAAGTATCCAAAAGCTGGCATGTGGCCATCACATTTAAAAGAGCAGCCTAAACTATCATTATGATTTAACACACGAGCAGTGTAATTCTGTGCTATTGCTGAAGCACTCACCAAAGGCAAGCAGGAGCCAAATTTCCCTACAGTGGAACAGAGAGTGCTTTCCTTTGCTCTCCTAAACAAGTAATTTCATATGACTACACAGTGAAAAGGGAAGAATGTTGAAAACATTAAGAGCTGAATTTTCTTACCTGCTCTGCAAGATTCAGGCTGACAACATAGAGAAGCGAGGTTTGTGCATTACAGCTGTATTATGGTATGCCAGACAGGAGCCGAATCACAAACCAAATGCAGACAAATTTTAAATCAGAAAAGAAGATGGCACATGCACACAGCTGGGCAAATAAACTGTGGATTCCAACAGCAATGATGATCTCCATGGATGGCCCTTCACACTTGTAGAGAATTTCAATAAAGCTCTTCCAAAACAGCAAAGATGAAACTTGTACCAACCCAACAGTATCTGGACACCAACTTTAGTGTTCCGTCAGTAGCTCTACTCCTCTAAGTATTTGTGCAAATGAGCAGTTCATTGTTGGTCTACTGTTGTGCCTATAGTTAATAACAGAGGCAAACCTTTCCAGACTGGGCCTTACTGTGAGAAAAAATGACCAGTCTTAAAAGTTTAGCATTTATGAATCCACTTTAGCCAGTCCCATGAATTAACAGCTTATGCATCATGGGTTTAGTATTTTAAGTTATTATATCATGTTGAAGCTGATAGAACAGGTTCTTCCTAACTAAAAGTTTTAAAATATTACAAGCTCGCACACAGTCCTGAGGGTAAAGGTTTCCCACCTAACGTCTTAACATCAATTAGATGTGTCTGAAAAGAAATACTACTACATGTTTAATGAAACTAAGGCTCCACTTGAACATGCTATGGCAGAAATCTGATTTACTTTGTAGCACATGGCCTTAAAGGCAACGCAAGAACTGTTTCCATAAAAGTGCATAGAAATCATGTTAAAACCTTGATCCACAGGATCCTTGTGGCAAAGCAGGACCTGAAGCAGTTCCATTTATAATAAAGTCTGGCACTTTAATGTCTGCAACTCCACAATTGCTATCTCCACCTCACTTATGAAGCCTTTTAATTTGCTGCTTCCTTTTCTCCCTACACCAGAAAGGAACAAACTTGTATGCAAACTTTTTCTAGACTCACACTGAGGATAAACCTTTAAAACACTGTAAAGCCTCAGCTGTCCTGGAAGCACAGCAACACCCAAGTGCTAAGCTAGTTTTTAAGTTGTTACACAGTCAGTTTTGTTCATGTACATATTTAAATACTGTGTATTTGATTCCCTCTCTTCAGTTCAAAGTCCAAGCACATAGGACCCAATGTCATTTCTCTGCAATATAAAAGTATTTCTCTAAATTTTTTGTAAATCTACTTTATTTCAACATAAGCTCAGCTTTTGCTTCTCTGAACAAATTCTCTCTCTCCATCTGCCTGCATATGTATGCACACACACCCCATACACATATGTACTTTACAGAATTACTTATAATATTTTACTTCAAATTTATCAAAATCTAAACAACTTCCAAGTCAGTTAAGATAAGGAAATTAGAAGTATTTCTTAGTCGAAAGGTATGGTTTTCTTGCATGTAAGTGTTCAAAGACCATCTTTCACACGAGGCAAGCCAAAAGGTCATCAGCCTTTCCAAATCTTTTTGAATCTCCAAAACCTCACAGTAGAAAGATAGAAAGTATATACCATACAGCACTCTTATACTTCAACTGAAACACAGCCACTAAAAAAAATCCAAGTGGTAGGACATCAGACACCGCAAAACACAAATATCCATGGAAACTCTTAACATTAAAACAAGTTAGCATTTTTCATGGCAACCCTTCTTCCTATATTTAACCAGCATTCTACTCCACCTCCACGACTCTAAGTTATGATGTTCTTCATGTACTCTGAATGAAATGCAAAGGGCTTTGGTTATTAGTCACCAACAAAAGTGTTAATATTAAAAGTTGTTTTGGTTCTTTTCTCATGGAAGAATCAAGGCACATTTCCAGCACAGGTATGAGCCATCTACTTATTTTCAAGGCTCCATTCTAAATATGTAGGTGTTTTAAAGAGACAAAGTGTTTTGTTTGAATAACAGCTAAATAGACACACATAAACAACTTGTTATTGCCACAACCTCTTTTTCAGAAACAGCTGAGCCTCACTGAAACTATCCCTCAAAAAATGGCTCAAAGCATGGGGAATTTCTGCCTAAACAACTGGAACTATTTCCAAATACTATAAGCATTAAAAACTGATATCTTATCATAAGCCTTACTCAGCAGACAGTAGCGCTACCAGCTCCAACCATGGTAACAGGTCTTACACAAGAAAATACAAGATACACATCTCAATATACATTCCTTACCACTTTTCACTCACACAACATCTTACCAAACCTTGTTTTTCACACTTCAGACAATGCAGTAAAGTGTTTTCATAGTGTCATTTAGTAATTCCCAGTTCTCTTTGCTGAACCCTTATAAGGCTTATCTGCTTGGGCGCAGTTGTATGCTATTCAAAACCCTCCTTTATACAGCTGCTAAATACTAAGATACTACATGCAAACAGTAAATAACAGGTAGCTACTTTCCTAGATTTCCTACGGATATTCAAACCAAGTGCAACATCTGGTTTACTGAAAAATCTTTTTTACTCAAAGCTGCAATTAGACATAAGATGACCAAGTGATTTACCTCGATCCTGGCTCTGAGTGTATGGGAAGTAGGATTCTTATTACAGTGCTACCCAACATACTGCAAAGCTACATACTTACAGCAACTGACTAGAAAAAAATCAAAGTGAGATCAGAAAGGGATTCCTAGATGTGACAAAAGAAACAATAATTTCACAGCAGATGCTACCTGTAAAAGCAAGAATTAACATGGTAACATCTCCTTTTTCCTTGTTACAGGCAAAACAATTGCCTTCCCATTTGCAGAAAAGAACTTAAAAGCTGTTTCTCTACAGAGAATTAGCAGTGTTGGTCCTATCTTAAACTTATAAAGGCTGAGAAAATAGCAGATTTCTGCTGAGGCAATTCCTCAAATCTACTTAGTTAAAACAAGAGAATAATAATAACAACTGATTCCTTTTAAAGAGGCTGCAGATCTCTCTTGATCTGGGACAAGCTAATGCAAATTAACTGTTATTTATATTTGGAACCGTTTCACTGTCGTCCCTTACTTCCTCCTTTCCTCACGGTGTCCTCTCCATCACAGCAAGTGAATCACAGAGTACTTTCTAATCTCCAGGTGTTCAAAATTCCCATTATACTTTTATAATAGATATTTCAATTTCAGATCATTTGGGGCATTTTTAAAGCATCTGCTGCAGTAATTCTTACATTAGTAAGATAAAAATCTTATTTCTTCTTGTCTTCCTTAAAGCCTTACCTACAAATGAATGAGGCTTCCTACTTTATTAAATGATAAAGCTGCTACTATGACTTAAAAACTACGTAACTTTTCAAGAGTCTTTTGCCAGGAAACAGATTTGATTATCCTGTCACTACCTTTAATTTTTTTTATATCACTTTGGTTGGTGTAGTTTGAAAAATACAGAAAAAACACCGATATTAGTTTCCTTTAAAACTGAAAACTAGCTTCATAATCGGTATTTAGCAAAGCAAGGAGTAAGAAATCGTAATGGTCACTAGAAAAGCCATTTCTGCAGAAGTTGAAGATAAACTTGACTGCATACTGTCAACACACTCAACATATCCTCTCCCTAAACCCTTACTAGAGATAATGGCCGATCATTGGGATTGTTTGACTGAACTAATTACATTAAACGACTGTTAGGATCTTCCACTTCGCACCAAGCAACTCAAGAACATCTGCTCGCGCCTCCCCTTCAAAGGAAAACACTCGCCAAACCGTCAATACCATGAAGCGTATTATTTTTTACAGGCGATTATATAATTATATAACTTGTTTCTCTCTGCGCTCTGCTGCAGCATATTTTACCGTCAATTTACGGGAAAGGAAAGCATCGCCGCTGGGAGGGCGGCGGGAGAAGGTAGGACTTCTTCCAGGGCTTCCTTCGTCGGTGGGAAGGGTGCCCGCGTCCCCAACTGTTTCTGGAGCTGGCCGGGTCTGTCACCAGCCACCGCGGCACCTTTCGGGGGCTGCGGGGACACCGCGGGCTCCCGGGCAGGGGCAGCCCCGCCACCGGCAGTGTGCGCCCACCCCGGGGCCGAGGAGGGAGGGAAGGCACCGGGCTGCGCTGCCGCTCCGGGCCAACAGCCAGCACTCGCCCACCGCTTAACTTTCCTGAGCGGACGCCCGCGCTCTCTCTGCCCCGCTGGCGGGGCTCCCCGCCTCAGCCCCGCTTCCTGCCGCCTCCCGCAGGGCTCAGCGCGGTACCCCCGCTACACTCACCCGGCGGGACTCCCGCTACCGTTCAGTCTAGCGAGCCGCGCTCGGAGCAGGTGCGCAGCGCTGCGCGGCTCCGGGTGCCCTGCCCGCGGCCGGCAGCCGGGCTCTGAGCGCGGCGGGTCGGGCAGGTGCCTTTCCTCCGGGCCGGCGTGAGGAGGGAGCGCTGCTTGGCTCGGTCCCTCCCTGCCCACAGGAAGGTGTGGGGGCAGCGACCCCCCTCCTCGAGCGCTGCCAGTCGTCGGAGAGGCGCTCACCTCCCGGGCTGCTGCTGTCCCTGAGGAGGCTCGTCCTCCTCCTCCTCCTCCTCCTCTTCCATGCTGCCGCTCCACCCCCTGCGCGGCGGCTCCGCGGCTCTCCAGGAGGAGCCGTTGAACGGCTGCGGCTTCCTCCCTCGCCCACCCGACGCTGAGGGCAGCGCGGCCAGCTGCACGCAGCAGCTCCACAGCGCCCTACCCCGCACCATGGCGCGGGGCAGGGGGTTTCCGCCTGGCGGCGCGTTACCAAGATGGCGGCGGGGGGGGCCGGTGCTTGGGGAGACGTGGCGGCCGGACTCCCGCGGGTCAGAGCGATGGCGGGGCAGCTCGGCGCTGCCGCTGGAGGCCGGGCTACCTCCCGGCCCCGGGAACAGGAAAGCACTAGGTTCTGTCTCTGGCCGGCCCCGCAGTTGGTAAACACTCGGGAGTAGGAGCGTACTCCGAGCATGCACCTGGTGCTGCAGCGGAAAAGTTTCCTAGACTCGGTTTCCTCAGGAACCCGAAGCAGTGCCGCCATCACTGGGGATACCCGGGAGGCCACCCATGGCCATCGGCTGCCGTTCCGCAGAGCATCCCATTCCGCAGATCCCTGTACCCCCATGGTCCCTCCCCTGCTTTAGGAAGTTAACACTCCTATCCAAGTTTCTTTGCGTGCTGGATTACAACCACCCCCTCACCTCCTGTTCAAACGTGTGAGGAGTTACCACGCGACTCCAGCTGATGGGCTGGGAAGTGAGGGATTCTGCAGCACCCAATCCAGAAAAAATAGGTTCTCAGGAATAAATGTCTATTTTTTTTTCACAATATTTCCTTACCTCCTTAAGTACGTAATAGAAGGTAAAGCACTAAATTATGCAGCTATGGTATGAAAAAACACATGTCCTACATAACAGCAGTATGAAATCCAAGTCTATCTGGATCTCCAATAACACACTTACATACATGTTATCTTGAAGCTTAGGAATGGATGTCCAGTTTATCAGTGAAGGCCAATTTCTCATGCTAGGTCTTGGGAGGCTAGAAACATGAGTATTACCCTTATCATTAATCTATCATTCTCTCAGTCTCTGTAAGGTAGAGGAAGGATGATACTGCCAAGTTACCTTGTTCTGTACGAGGATCACAGATACGTATTTGTTGCTTATGGTCAGGCAGATTTGCTGACCTTTGCCAGTTGGAAAATCCTATTTTATTACTTCTCATTCTTCTCACCTAACGTTTCCCGATCACTTCATCTCCTATCAGTATGTCTAGTGCTAAGATAGCCTTGTAGTAGCAATGACTTTTACTCATACATTATTAAACACAAGTCTATATGGGTTATTTTTACTGCTACTTTATGTAATCTAAGACCTACATAATGAGTCAGAGGATAAAACTGCCCTCCATAGCTCTGATCAATGCCCATTAGCAGTTAGTAATAATTAGTGCCTATGTACAGAAATTTGAGTAAGCCAGCAGGCTGGTAGTAACTGATTGCCAAAAGCAGTGGGTTTGGGATGCTCATCCTGCACCAGCTGAGTATCTCCTGGTAGGCAGATCTCTTCCACGTGTCATTTGGAAGTAGTTTGTGCCACCAGTGCTGCAAAAGCCATGGTTCAGGAAGTTGTGCTTTAGTAAATACATTTTGTCTGTGCTAGAAATACAGACGTCAACATCTGAAGGCTGTAAGTAAAGACAACTGGTGTCAGTGCAGCATGCAGTTTTCAGTTTGAAAGGGAAACATCTCTTTCTCTGGTATAACAACTGGTGAAGAATTATACGGTTGTTCAAGTTATTTCTGACACCACTAAAAGTGCATATCAGCCCTTGTTAGCTGTTCTGCCACTCCAGTGTCTACAACAGGAGGAAATTTAACTTCAGATGTGCTCTTCAACAGAACCAGAATGTTAAATCAGTTTCCTGTTCCAGTCTTCCCAAGAGCCAACTCAGTCTAGTCCTGCTGCTTTGGTAGGTTTTGATCTTTCCTTCATATTATGCACACAAATATATTTAAACTAAGGAAAAGTCCCAGTGGGACATCTGTGCTCAAACAGTTATGTAAACCCAGAACAGAGATCTGACTCTTAATACACCCCAGACCTGCTAATATGCTTACAGGAGTGACACTGGGATCCTGCAGGAGTTGGAGGCCAGAAGTTGTTATTAACAGATGGGAAGGTTCCAGCCATCTGTGCATGAGGTAAGAGTTTTCTGCTTGGCACCTAGTCCTAAAAAAAGGAGTTTTAATAATTTTATTTCCTTTGGTGGTAGGCACTCCTGCATTTTTACTACTCAGAATGGCCCTATATATTGTCCACTACAGATGGAAAAAAATACTGGGGAGATTCTTTGTACTGCACAGATATTGAGGGGTAGCAAAGTGGAGTTATTTTGGGGTCAATGCATTTTATTTTGCCCTAGTTAAATTTAACAGCTGAAACAATAATTTTTTTACTGAAGAAGCTTCTGGGGTATACCATTTCATTAACCACTTGGAAGGATAAATTCCTTAACCTAGCTTAATCTTCTTAATGCAACAGCCTATATCTTAATTAGAATCACATAGTTAGTATTTCATGAATTGTGTCTGCAGTGGTGTCTTTTCCTTGGAGACAGTGTATGCATTAATCATGGGCAGGACGGCTCAACTAACTTGGTTATAAAACTTCTCTCGATGAAGGGTTTAGCCTTCTCTGCAACTGAAGTTTATTGATATATTTTTTAGATCTCTAAGGTCTATCTTTTCATGAAGTTTAGTCAGTTGACGTAGGCTGTGTCAGAGAAAGATGCTCATCTTGGGCAGTAACTGAAACACAGTCTGAAATAGGAAAAAGTAGAAATTCTTGTAGTTAAATTTTTTGCATCTTTATAACTGAGCTGTCTTAACTTGATTGAAGACCATCCTCTATAACAAAACCATCCCTCACTCCATCTCAGAATATCAAGTCATAATCCAAAATCCCTTTAGGCTCAGGCTTGCTGTATACTAGGCAATGTTTACTGTGGTAGTGCAGATGGAGTTCATTGCAGTAAATACTGTGGTAGTGCAGATGGAGTTCATTGCAGTAAAAAAAAAAAAAGAAAAAAAAAGCACACTTGCTGGAGCAGTTTGTACTGGATTTCTGAGTGAAATAAACTATCCTGGCAAAGGAGTTTTTCACCACTCTGATATTGGCTATACCACACTTTTTAATAGCATGGAAATTTTCCACCGGAAGAAATTGTACTAAGCTAGTAAAAGCCTCTCTGGCAAAACTGGCCCATACCAGGTCAACAAAAAGCCAAACCTAGTGCTTCTACTTGCAGTGTGGAGAGGAAACCACTCTTACAGTATCCACACTGTTTTGGAGAAATGTTAAGGGAGAAAAGTTATTTGGCATCTGTTGCAGACAGAAGCAAACAGAGTTTCAAATCATGTTGGACGTTAAGTTACCCTGTGAAAGAAGGTTACACAAGCAGCTTATACATTTCTATCTATATACACGTAGATACAAAATGCTTCACAGTAATTGCTAATGATAACATTAAATTGCCTTAGTTACAGAATTGATGTATAATCAAAATAGAATACTTAATGAAATCACTGTGTTATGTTTACCATTACGAATCCAAACCTCTTACATGATAAACAATTTGACAATATTTGGGACTACAGAGAAAGAACTTACAAACTACAGTTAAAATATACTTTTAAATATTGTACAAAATACACTCTGATGCCTAGCTGGTATGTCTTTAACTATTATCTGGGGGACAAAACTGGGGACACAATCAACTGAAACCGTAACAGCCACATTTAGGTTGTGCTGTAATAGTAGCGGGCCAGGAGCATTCTCTAGCCCCAACACCCAATTCTACAATGCATGTGTTTTCATACAGATAAACCGCCCTAATATTGAAGAGCAGGCAGCTGCATCAGAATTGCTGTTGGAAGTGCTCCCTGGACCACACTAGTCCCTGAAGCATGCTTGGCAACCATATGGGAAAGCCAAACCTCAGGTAGCAACCTTGCTAGCAATTTAATGTTATTAAAGTGTGGCAAAATCCAGGCCTGTTCCATAGTTTACTGGAACACATCTAGCTTTAGTCACCACCTGATTTTGAGATTTAACCATGTATCTCAGGGGAAATTACAGTTGTTGCATTTGTTTCCAAAATCAGTGAAGCTTGGCAGTGTCATTTTGAACAAGCACTACCATGAGATGGTGCTGTCACGGTCAGTGCCCGATAATGTATTGTAATATTGCTTAACATTTTGCAAAATTACTATCATTAAAATTTATTTAGGAAATTCAATTACAGTGTCTAAAAGGTCTGATGAGATACATATTCCTCTGTAAGCGGCACTGCACAGAAAGAAAAATCCTTGCCCTTTTGCAATTGAATTTGTGCACAAGATACAGTAACAGGTTTAATAAACAGGAAGAAGACATTCTAGATGTACAGAGCACTAAAAATAAGAATATGTAGTGTAGCTCATAACCTGTTACATTGTTACGAGTGTCTTGACTTGTAACTGTGAATTAGAAATTGTAAGCTATTGTACTGATTTCATTGCAGGCATGATGATAACATACTGTTTCTGTGTGCTAAAATGCATTACTGAAAAGTGTCCCTCTAACAATCATTTCAGACTGATATTAAAATGCATGGAGTTTGTGACTGTCCATTATTTTGGGGAGTATTATGCATAGTGCCATGGCTTGGATGTGAATGTTGGCAATGGCTAAGATCTTAACTATACCCTATAGTTTAATTTCTGATACGGCCAAATCCCTCTCTGCATATGTAATGGTCCTTATTCTCATGCCATTTATATCTCTGTGGTTTCATTTTTTTTGTGGCTTTAAGAAGAATTTGACTTTAGTTCTGTGCTTTTATTCTCCGTAGAGCAAATGGGTTACTGTAAGGCAGATACACACACTCTGACAGCCCTCATGCTGAGTCTCAGTGGGGCTTTAAGATGGTCTGGCCACCTTCATGGCTATGAATGTAGCCTTTTGGCAGGGAGTGTCCGTTGTGAGTCCTCTGGAATGTAGGAGGAAAATTCATCCTGCCAAGACGTCACTTCTTTGTTTGGCTTATGGTCAGCCTGTAAAATGAGAGGGCTACTGCACTGGCAGCACTACAAAGTGGTTGGGGAGCAAAAAGATGTAAGGGTGTAGGAAGGGAAGGAGGCATGGTACGAGAGTATTGAAGAATATACTCTTACGGACTTCATGGTGGAAGTATGCTGGTGGGGGTTGTTCCAGGCTGCATATATCTCCAGGATTACCTAGGCTGCCTGAAAAGGATGTTGATACGGTGCACAGGCCTGAGTTTTCACCAGCAGGGTCCCCAAACAGGATGATTTTGGGGGGTGCAACAATAAAGTGATGAGCTTATCATGGGAATGTGACAGGTCAGTTCAACCATTCATTCTACATGCTTTACAGAAGATGTTTAGAAAGCTGCAGAGTGTTAAAGCTGGCTCCTCCTTCTCATGTTTGAATCTTAACACCTTTGACCTCTTACATGCAATGTTGGAGATTTATAGACGTTTATTTCCTACTGACCAGTGACATACTCATTCAGAAACCATAGGTTTACGATAATTTATTTGAATTAACCATCTGTCTCATTTTTTTAGTTTAAAATTGGTTTAATACCTCGAGCAACAACGCAGAATAAAACCAGTGATAGTCGTGAAAGAACTGGGGGCACTATTTACTCATATACTTTCAGAGCACATATGGAAATACAAAGCCACATAGAAACAAAAAATCATATATGAATAGGTTATTTCAGAAAGAATGAAACTAAACGAGCTTGATGTCCTGCTCATTTTAGTCACTGCTCTGTAGTTTCACCCTCCCAGTGCAATAATTCAGCCCATTTATCTCCATGCCTTCCATGGCATCTATTTGGGCAAGAGAGAGTGCGTGCTGTGGTTAATCCACTTAGTTGTATGTGCAGGCAGACTGGCCAGCATGAGCACGTGCCCACTGCCAGCTGGCTCATGCTAAGATAACACATGCTGCTGTGTTCTGCCTGCTTTTCCCATACTCAGGGAACTGACTTGAGTCTCCTTCCTACATCCAGATAATGGTGTTAAAGAAAATGATAGGAACTTAATTACTTTGGGCTGTATTAGGATTACTTCAGGTGTGTACTATTACACGCTCCATGGCCTTGCTTACTTGGGTGGGCAGAACTGGTGTGTTTGGAGCATCATTTAGATCCCATCAAATACAGATTTGCCATGTTTCCTTTCTATACAAACCAGGCTGCAGGAAAAAGGACAGATGCCTGCCTAGGTTTCTTCATAGTGTGAACTGGGATGTAGCTGAGTTCTCCACCTTTACTAAGAACCTGGAGAATGCTCCAAGATTTCCTAATCCACATAAAACTCTTGAAATTTCTTTCTTTCTTTCAAATATCATTGATATTGACCACTCAGTTTGACAGAAAGGCACAGAGCATGGTTTCAGAAGAAAAGTGGCTAAAATTAGTTCATCTCATATTATAACTGAGAACTTCTGCACAATTTCAAATAAGTTAGTTTTTAGATTACAATGAAAAATACATTGTGCAGTGGAAAAAAAAAAGTAATGACTTTTTAAGTCATGTAAAGAAACTATAGGAAAATACTCATGAGAAAAAAAGTATTTAACAATGAGGTAAATCATGAGCTTGTAGATTCCTCATGATTACTTGTAGAAATTCAGAATCATGGACCATCCTTTTCCTTGCCTGCACAAACTGCTTGTGTAGCTTTATTACGCAAACATCATAAAAATACAGGGCTGTAAGGGGTTTCAAGAAATCCCCTAGTCCAAAGCACTACATTCAATGAGGGTCTTTCATAACTGGATTATTATAGTAGCTGTCAGCATGCTGTGCAGGCATGCTGTGTGCTACTATGGAGCTGCTTTCAGCTGCTAAGTTGCTGCTCTGGCACTAATATAAACTGCTGGCTTCCCTGGCTACTGATCTCCTGAAATGAGCCTCAAACCTCTTCTTCGTCCACAGCTTCCACAGGAGGGAGAAGGAAAGGAAATCCGCTTTGGTTTTAACAGCTGGCAGTGAATAGGGGAGTTATGAATACATGGAAATGAAGAATGAGGGCACGTGACTAAAGCCATGAAGGTCAGTTTTTGGTATGCCAACAGATGAGCAATGCTCCAAGTGGCATTTGACAAAATGTCACTCTGATTGTGTAGACATGATGATGATGTCAAAAGAGACTCATGTGAATTGGGATTCAGGAGGATCCTCTATTTAAATCCTGTCTGAGCTACTGACAGGCTGCATGACCTCCTACAATATACTGAGCTCCATGGGTCAAATTGGTCCTCATTGCAACTAAATTGACTACAATAGAATTACTCTGGGAGTGAACTTGATTTTTCAGACATCAGTCAACACAGCTGGTTCACAGAATAAATGAAAGAAAGCAGGCATAGATGTCACTGGAAGACAGATGCATCTGAACTGAGACTTACAGTGTTAGCAAAATCAGAGCAGAACTGCACAACTGTTACTTAAAATGCATAAATAATTGTTGATGGTGGTCTATTGACAATGTAAACTCCATAAAGGCAACCAAGCTACAAAAGTGTCATTGTCTTTTTTAATGGGAATGTAATGATCATGTATATTAATTATAACTTGGGAAATGACTGATGCTTCTTTAAGAATTCTGTTATAGTTTTTTCTTCAAAATATAATGACGTTAAATGACACAAGCATACAACACAATGCTGCACAGTGGTAACCTTCTTCCAGAGGAAATGCTTCTGGAGGCAGATAACAAAATAATGGCATTTATTAATGAAAGATAGTTAAGAATACTTAACATAAGCACAGGATAAAACTACCTCTAAAATGGTGAAAAATAAGACTGCTTCTAAGCTTCCCAGGATAGAAGCTTTTAGAAATTACAACTTTTATGGATTTGGCATAGACAAAGAACGAAGTGATTTGCTGCTTTGTAGAAAATGAAGTGAGGGACTAGTGTTATCTTACTGATACTTTATTCCACTATTTATGCTTTGCTTGTGTGCAGCTTTTGCTTTACCTGTTAAACTGCCTTTATCTCAATCCATGAGTTCTCTCACTTTTACCCTTCCGATTCTCTCCCCCATCCCACCGGGGGGGGGAGCGAATAAGTGGCTGTGTGGGGCTGAGCTGCTGGCTGAGGTTAACCACGACACTACAACAACTTTGAAGAGTTTAGAAAGTCAGTGTAAAAAGACCAGGACAAAAGGTGGTTTACCAAGCAATTGCAAGAGATGTTCTCCAGCAGAAGCAAAGCTAACCAAAGGGTTCTCTTAGTCCTGCCATTCCCGTCATCTAAACAAAATGAGCAGTTACAAGTCAGAGGTTCTTTTATCCCAGCTGATCACAGGATAAGCTAAAAAAGTATTTACAAAACACAAAAGAGAACAACCTTAATAGAAATAATTTTCTAGTTTCATATATACTATGCTATATAAAACAAACCTGAGATTTAACAAGTACAGAAAAATACTTGGCATAATTTAAGAAAATTTGGAGAGTTGACACGGGTACATTTTTCCTCCTTCCAATATAGTAATGAGGACAATGGAGTTGCTTCTGTAGACATGATTAAAAAAGAGATCTGGAAAGGTTTTCCAGTTCATCCTCGTGCTTCAGGGCAGAATCCACTCCATCTAATCAGCTCCTAACTGATATTTGTTCAACATGACCTTGAAAATTTGAAGTCATGCTGATTCTTCAGACCTCTTCAGGGTCAGATACTGTGTAACACTCCTTACAGTCCAAAAGCTTTGCGTAAAATGTAACTTCAGTCTTCAAGGTGCAACTTAGAGTTATTACCTCTTGCTGTATCAGTAGACAAAAAGAACAGTTTGTTCTTCAATACTTTTTATGGGTTTGAGAACTGGTATCATATCTTCCCTCAATCCTTTCATTGCTAGACCAAACAAATGAGTTCTTTCAATCTTACCTCATGGGAGACATTTTCTATACCTCTGAAAATTACATGGCTCTACTGTGGGGATTTTATTCATCTTTCTTCAAGTAAGGTGCCCAGAAATGGATGTTGTACTCTGTTTTATCTCTGTACCACTGTCTTATCAGTGGTGATCTGAACAGAACATTGCTTCACATCTTTTATAGAGCTGTTTACACACCCCAGTGTGAAGTCCGCTTTACATCACTCCTTTTACAACAGTATGACAGCACTGGCTTGTTTGGTTTATGATGCAATGCTACCCCTAGATGCTTTTCTGAGGGGTGTGCTGCTTACCAGTAACTCTCCATCATCTTCATGTGCAGCCGAATGGTCTTAAGAATAATACTTTACATGTTTCCATCCTGTTGTTGTTTTTTTTTTTTTTTTTTTCCAGACCATTTCTCTGGTTGTTACCATTTTTTTTATTCAATACTTATCCTTTGACATGGTGTAGATGTGCACTCATACCACTTAGTCCACTGCAGTAAGACCACATAACAGATTCACTTTTCTATCTCATAAGGAAAGCCCTTGCCACCCTAACGAAGAAAGGTGTCATAGAGCAGAACTAGCACAATTCATGCCATGACGACTCCCTGCCCACTTCCATGTGGCCCTCGGGACAAGACAAAAGGAAATGGGCTTGAGATGGGGTAAATTTCAGGGAAAATGGAATCTGGTCCGTAGATAGATCAGAATTATTTCCTTAGCTGACTGTGGTTCCTGCAAGACCAGGTTAAGAGTCTTATTGTAGTCAAGATACTAAGTATCTGTTGCTCCTCCCTAATATGCAAGGCATCGATGTTCTGGAATGTTGCTTTTAATAGCTTGTTTTCTGATAAAACCATATTTCATCTTACTTATCACCATAGGATTACAGGATAGTTTATTTTGAAGGGGACCTCAGGAGGTCTCTAGTCCAAGCCCCTGCTCAAAGCAGGGTGAGCTGTGAGTTCAGACCAGACTTTATCCTGTCAGATTTTGAAAACCTGCAAGAGTGTAGACTTCACGAGCTCTTTGGGGAACCAGCTCCACGGTTTGACTGACTCATGGTCGAAATATTTTCCCTTAAATCCACTTTGAAGCTCTCTTATTTCAACTGACAGCCATTGTCTGTCATCCTCCGACCATACAGCCCTTTGAAGAGCCTGGCTGTGTCTTCTTGGTAATCTCCTCTTTGCTATTATGTAGATGCTTCCTTTATTTTTTCTATTATTTGGCAAAAGGAACTAAAAGGCAATGAACAGCCTTTCCTGAATTGCTGAGTTTTGGATTTTCATGTTTTTTCTACTTGTATGCTTGACCATTTCCTTTCTCATTTAACTTCTGCCTTCCTTACTTAGAGAAGGAATGAAGCAGTTACTTCTAACAACTAGTAGAAAATGGTTAAATGGGTTGTATCAGGCTGATACAATTTAGAACATTTAATTTATCTAAGTCGGTGTTATCCGTTCTTCCCTTTTCTATCTGGAAGTCTTACTTCCTTTTCTAACTTAGAAATCAAAACAAAGCATCACACACAAGAATTTGTAGAAGTTCAAGCAAGGAGGTAAAAAAAAAGAGACATTAGAAGACATTTCTTTACTGGGAGGGCAGCCAAACCCTGGAACAGGCTTCTGTAGAGCGATGATCAATTCCCAAAGCCTGTTAGTGTTCAGAGGCATTTGGACAATGTCCTTAACAACATGCTTTAACTTTTGCATAGTTAAAAAGAAGTGGTCAGGCAGTTGGACTAAATGATCATTGTAAGTCCCTTCCAACTGAAATATTCCATTCTGTATTCTGCTCATGAGTGTCATCCAGCATTTCGTGCAAGTCAAGTCGTCTGTTTAAAGGCAGGTACTTTGAATTAAATTGAAGTGTCTCATTGACTGTGCTGAACTTTGATTTAGGCCTTTAGAGTCCTTGCCTGTAAAGATCAGATAGTAAATCTTAACTATGCACATAGTTCCTCACGCTTTATTGCACTGTGTAGATGGGTTTTCCTTATTCAAGTATACATGATTTGGGGTAGATTTATGTAGCCAGGGTCAATACATATATTCTGAGAAATATATGAGGTCCTTATGTGGATGAATTAAAAATTGCATGTAGATGTCACATATTCTTTTTTGTTATTATTATTTTTTATCCAAAGGCTGCTGAAAACTTTGAAAAATAATAAAAAAGAATAGTTTCAAGAAGCTTTGGGGAGTTTAGGGTTCCTCAGTAAATCCCTTGTGATCAACTTCTATGTATAATTATACTAAAAATTACTCCCGGTGCTTAACTTGTAATTCAAAAAGGAAAGATTGAGATGTAAATAATGTCACTGGTAGAAAGCCAAGTTTTTAAATATGGGTTAACATATGAAAAAAAAGGAAAGTCTAAAGCAGTAGCTGTGAGATTTGTGCACTGTGCAGGTGGCAGGAAGTTCTGAGGCTTTCTGGGCTTACGTTATATACCTGATTTGAGAAAAAATGTTTCAGGATAAAGTAACTGTATTACATAGTACAAAAATATAGATCTGAGAACATTAATAGAATAGCAGGATGACTGATAGCCATAGTCAGAAAAACATAAAATAATAGCTAATGCTTAAATTAGTGTAACCACTATGCAATAGCATCAATGCAGTAAGTGCAATCAGCTAGAGAGTGACTTCCCACCCCTTGATTCTGTTCAGTCTACTTAGTAGTAGTGACTTGAATTCCTATTCCAAATCTTTTGTTTGCTATACTACAACTCATCTGCTATGAAGACCATGTTGTGTTTGAAAATGCCTTAGGTAGATCTCTTAAGCCTCCCGTACTAACCCAGTACCAACCCAGTTCTTCCTTATATACTTAGTTACATGGGATTTTCAAATAAACCCCCATATATTCCAGAGTACACAGACACTTTCATGCCTCCCAGTCAGTATCTGAAGTTCCAAAGTCAAATGCAGAAGCAGATTGATGGCGGGGGGTTGGAAGTAGATGATCTTAAAGTCCTTTCCAACCCTAACTATTCCAGGATTCTATGAAATGTGCTTTAGATATACTGGATCTTTATATGTGTGCATCAATTTGAATGTCTTCTGGATGTTTCAAACTTGCTGCTTGTCTACAGACCAACTCATTAACATGTATGCACCGAAATTCTTGCATGGCAAAATGATGTTTTTCTGAACGTAAGTGGCTTCAGTTGCATGGCTTTTGTGAAAGAGAAGCATCAACATGCACATCAAATAGAGAGAAAACCTGGGCATACACAGTGTCTGAGATTAGCAGATGTTTGGCAGCCTGCTTGGAATTACTGCTCTGCACTAGCTGCCAAACATCTGGAAGTTAGTAGAAAAATCTGGAAAAGTGGTAGGGAATAAAACGACCAGCAAAAGCAGCTATTTCTCACAAAAAAAAATGGTAGGTTTGGCATGATGGGCTATAATAGGATTTGAGAAAAGCATCAATCTGGGACATGGAGAACAATGGGTGTGAGAAGCTCCAGAAATGGTTTCCTTCAGAGGGCTGTAAGAAAAGGCCAGTGAGTCTGAAATCAGTTTGAAAAAAAGATCTTCAGTGACATGTACCACTAAACTCAGTGCAAGCATATTGTTAACTTGAAATTTTAAATATCAACTTTATTAAGTTAGCTGCTTATGTGAGCAGAAATACCCAACCAACATTATCCCACATTCCCAAATTCCTTCTGCTGGCTTCTCAGGTTATAAAATCCTCAGCTTTCTCTTTGCCACCCATCTGTCAACACCCCTAGCTTTTCCCTTGGTAACTTCTACAGTGTGATTATTCATTACACAGAAATCAGTACAAAATACAGTTGCTACAGAGTCTGGAACCCTGAATATGTGCAACCATCAAAAATAAATTTATTGTAATATAAAGATAAATAACACATGGAATACTCAAGTGTTGCTTTCTTTGTATTTAATTCATAACAAGAACACAGTATTTAAATTTAAGATGCTGCAGAATTTCCAGCCTGTTGCATTAAAATGCTGGAGATTCTTACAGAATATGAGTTCAACTTGTTGTGCCCCCAAGTAAATGCATTTAGAATCTGCATAATATCCTCTAAGAATTTCATAAGATATATGGATCTGATTTTTAGATAAGGGATACCTGCGATGAGCTACTAACCCGAACCTCAGAGTAAGATTTGTTTTGC